CCGTCTGCCGTCCCGGATTTTTATTAGACAGATAATCTCCGAAAGTACTCGACCGATTGTTGTGAAATTTTGTACTTATATTAAGAATATCATGTAAATGGTAAAACGCTAACCAAAATTTGTCTAATCATCCCCACCACTAATGCGATGACGTCACTTCAAAATTCTACATAGTAAATGGGTTTTCAATTGTATAAAATAACATAGTCCTACACATGTAGTTTACAACTCTGAATCGACTTTTCACCCGAAACGTCCAGATTTTTGGAAAAAAAATCAAAATTATAAAACAACATTTTGAAATTTAATTTTTAATCTGCTAACCAGAATGCTTTGAAATGTTGCAGATGTTTTAAGGCTATAAAGAGCATCATAAATCTTTAGTCAAAAAATATTTGCTTATCCCCTCCAAAAACTTGATGACGTCAGCTCAAAAGTTTGTGGAATAAATCATATCTAAAATGTACAAAATATAATGAGTCTGTACTTGTGATCTATCACTCTATCATATTTTTTGGATTTGCATATACAGGGTGACTCAAAAAAAATAATGAATGCGTAAATTTATTTTACTGATTTACTCAGAAACTACAAAACCGAATGCTTTGAAATCTTGCAGATGTTTTAAGGTTATAAAGAGCATAATAAATGTTTAGGCAAAATATATTTGCTTATCCCCGCCAAAAACTTGATGACGTCAGCTCGAAAATTTGCCGAATAAATCATATCTAAAATGTACAAAATATGATGAGTCTGTACTTGTGATCTATCACTCCATTCATATTTTTTGGATTTGCATATACAGGGTGATTCAAGAAAATAAATGAAAGCGTAAATTTATTTTACTGATTTACTCAGGAACTACAAAACCGAATGCTTCGAAATCTTGAAGATATTTTAAAACTATCATAAGCATGGTAAATTTTTGATCAAAATGTATTTGGTCGTCCCCCCTAAAAAATTTATGACGTCACCACAAAATTTTGCTGAATAAATCCTATCTAAAATGTACAAAATATGGTGAGTCTCTTCTTGTGATTTATCATTCCATTCAAATTTTTTCAATTTGCATATACAGGGTGACTCAAAAAAATTAATGAATGCGTAAATTTATTTTATTGATTTAATCAGGAACTACAAAACCGAATGCTTTGAAATCTTGCAGATGTTTTAAGGTTATAAAGAGCATAATAAATTTTTAGTCAAAATATATTTGGTTATCTTCTACAAAAAACTGATGACGTCAGCTCAAAAGTTTGCCGAATAAATCGTATCTAAAATGTACGAAATATGATGAGTCTGTACTTGTGATTTATCATTCCATTCATATTTTTGGATTTGCATATGCAGGGTGACTCAAAAAAATTAATGAAGGCGTGAATTTATTTTATCGATTTAATCAGGAATTACAAAACCGAATGCTTTGAAATCTTGGGAATATTTTAAAGTTATTATAAGCATGGTAAACTTTTGTTCAAAATGTATTTGTTCATCCCTCCTAAAAAAATTGATGACGTCACCCTTAAATTTTGCTGAATAAATCCTATCTAAAATGCAAAAAATATGATGAGTTTGTACTTGTGATTTATCATTCCATTCATATTTTTTAGATTTTCTTAAGAGGTGGTTCAAAAAAATTAATGAAGTCAATTTATTTTATTGATTAAATTAAAGGCAACACTTATTAGTATTACACCCCAACCAACCCAATTTGGTAGACACAAAATTTGTTAAAGGAAAAACTCGGTTGAAACATAAGGGTAGCACACTTATTTACATCGACTTTAACATTACAGACCTGCATTTGTTTTATGCGCTCACTTGGTTCCGCGAATGTGGAATAGACATGTTTATAATCAACCAATTGTGAATTTCCCGTCAAGAATTAAAATAAAACCCAATGTTTTATATAATAAGCGGAAGTCGAAGCAATAAAACCGATGGTCGTTTTGTTTACAGTTTCTCTGTTTGACTCTCACGTATGCTGTTACGCTTGTCATCTTAAATTAAGAATGCTTATACATAAACGATTTTCAGTTGCCTTTCATATTACTAGACAGCGGATTTTTGTCGGACTACGTCACGTTTAATGGGTACTAATTCCATAAATATAATTAACGATTTATTAATCTAACGGCTAAGTAAATGAGAACGGGAATTAACAGCAGAGTGCAACGAAACAGCGTTATTCTAATCTCAAATAAACGAAGTGCAGCCCGCAACCGCAATGAATTCGTATCCCGTACGAGCCGTACCGAGTTTGGCCTTGCCTAGCCCGACAGAAATCCGCTCTCTAGATATTACACACCGACGCCGTATACGTGAGTAAATTGTTTCGTTATTTTATTGATTATAAGAAATCAATATTCAAAACGACCCAATTCATTTTCCCGAAAATTTGGGAATACAATAATTTTATTCTTAGTATTACACTACATCTATCCCAACTGATATACGTGTCCTTGCAAAAATGTTGATGACGTCATCACAATTTTTTTTTAAATTCCCACTACAAAAATGTAATGAGAAAAAAAAACACAATAGGCATGCAGTCGTCAAGTTTTCGACAGCGAGGGAAGTACTGTCTAAACTCTTTAGACCAATTTTGTTTTTTTTCTCATTACATTTTTGCAGCGGGGCAATTTAAAAAAAATTGCAATGACGATATCAACATTTTTGCAAGGACACGTATATCAGTTTGGATAGATGTAGTGTAATACTAAAAATAAAAGTACTGTATTCCCAAATTTTCGGGAAAGTCAATTCGGTCGTCTGGAATATTGATATAATCAGTTATAATATAACAAGTGATATGATTATTATCACTGGGCGGAAAAATATCTTACGGATGCAATTCCCCAGTTGAAGCAAGGTGTGTTTTACGGCGAGTAGCGGGGACGCTTTGATCTGGTCCACAAGGTCGTAGCCAGAGCGTCGCTTGGAGTGTTTACAGCTTGTTAAAAAACTACTTCTATATTACTATATTACTTCAAATAAAAATACTCGATGCCCATTTTAATTTTTCAAACACATGACCACAGATTTGTGATCTTGAAATGTTATATTATGTTGATATAGTCCAAAAGAAAAATATATTTGTAATCAAACTATCGCCGCGACAGCACTGGATCGAGCGTATGAAACACAATTCCGCGCCTTGATTATTATCGATAATATTTCGAGTGAAACCGAGCTGCAGATTCAACGAGTGCGAAGCACGAGTTGAATGTGCTGCTTCGGTTTCACGAGCCATATCTTCGATTATTAATCATATCACGAGTTATATTCAACATGAGAATATAATAAATGAACACATTTTTTGATAACAGAATTGATTTTGTCGTTTTGAGCTTGCCCCCAACGTTGGCAAGCCATAAAAGACAAAGAAATTTACGAAATTTTAAAATTTGTCAATTTGACAGTTTTTAAATTTAGATAGCAACAGACCACAATAAGGCAATAAAATTATTATCGCTGTGATAGACATGTAACTAAGGGCATGAACAAATTCTATTGGAAGAAATGGGGTCATGTGATTCATGAATTATATTCTCAATAAAATAACGAAACAGTTTACTCACGTGGCCGCGTGTATTAGCAGAGGCGACTCAAAATCAATTATGTATAAGCATTCTATAACGATTGCAGTGTTTCAGAACATTCCGCTTCGCAATTTTAAAGTTACATTCTAAGATGTTACAAAATTTTGATTTGTTTTTTACAAAAATCTGGTTGGGAAGGGGAAAAACTCAATAGGGCTCATAAACTACAAGTGGAGGTGTATGTTATTTTATAAAATTTAAACAACACTTACTATTGTAAATTTTGAAAATGGCATCATCACATTAGTAGTAGAGATGAGACAAATTTTGGTCAGAGTTTTATCATCTACACGACATTTCTAATATAAAATTTGACAACATTTGGTCTGCTATTTAGAACGGCAGACGGCAGACGGCAGACAGACAAACTGACGCAAACGAGAGATCAATGTTTTCGTATTATAGGAATCATGGCACGTCGAGAAAATAAAAGTAGCGGGTCGCCTGATGGACTCGATTACTATCCTTCCTTAGCTTACGCTCGGGAAGAAATATATGGAAGAAGTGACATAACCAAGATCAGCAAATTTTTAGCAGTTGAGATGTGGTTTGACCTGACCGACATATCAAAGTAAATTCACATTTTTCTAGAGTTGGCATAGCATTAATTCAAGAAATCCGTCCAAAAATAATTACTCAAAAAAAAAGAATCAAGTTTAGTCTGTTTTAAAAATGGTCAACTCAAAGCTTCTGTTATTTATCTCAAATATGAAGTGTTTTTCTTGCAAAAAAATTATTGCGAATGTTGAAAGGTGCTCTTAGTTCTTGAATTGTTTTTACAGAATTTTCTTTTTACATAATATGATTTGACAAAGTTGCGTTCTTTCATGCTAAATGTTAACATTTAGAATCGTGAATAGTTATGGTGGGAGTCCTTATATGTATTGTTACGAACTAATCCCATAACTCGCTTCGGTACGTCGGTAATTAGTCGTGTAAATTTGAGTTACTAAGAAATAAATTGTTGAGTTTTACCAACGGCTATTTTTAAATCATGGAACAACGTAACAGTATTATATACAGTTTATTTTCTTCCTAATTCTTAATTCCCCTATTATTGAATTAATGATTATTATTCATCGTTGCATGTCTCCAAAATTTGTAGTAAAATTTCAAATTTTGTGATTTTAATTTACCCAGTACAAAGTTGGTTCAAAGCGAAAAATATTTCGGTGTCCATTCTAATAAAATATCCTCCATGTGTGTGACTATGTATAAAATTTTAATTTTAAGAATCTTCCATTAAAAACTCATTCCTTCCACATTACACGCAAAAATAAAACAAGACCTAATTAAAATAATGTTTATATTAGCACGTATGTAGTGTATTTGTATAATGTAATAATAATCTTTTTATAGAAATATCTAAACAGTAAAATATATAAAGAGAAAGCGTTTTTTCGACAAATGTTAAAAAATGTAAACAGATAACAAAATATAAAAACCTTCAACACTAAAAGGAACAGATTGAAATGTCTATCTAATGCAAAGATAAAGCAAATTTGAGGGTCTGGAGTTGTCTTGTGTTTGCTTTATTTCTATGCTAGGATTACCAAAAAAATTCCATATACATAAATTCTTATCCGCACTTACAGAAGCTGAAACATAAATTAAATACCATTTTTTTTTACAAAATATTCCATATAGTTACAACTGCTGAAGCTTCATCAGTACATCCACAAGCAAGCAATGAGCTCTTTCCATGGTGCCATGACAAAGCCTACAAAAAGAGCACAATGTAAACAAAAGCTTCTATCTTGAAAGTTAACTCACTCGAACTATTGATTCGCTTGTAATGGTGAACAGTCGTCCAATGTCTGAAAAAGATTTCAGACATGGAACGACTGTTCACCATTAAAACATTGCTGTTTTCTGTGATAAAAAATTTATTGCTACAAGCAATATGAATAAGACGGTCATTGTGTGGTTTTCCACACCATTAATGACCGTCTTATTCATACTGCTTGTAGCAAAAATCTTTTATCACAGGAAACAGCAATGTTAGTGATACTGCATTTTGGAAAACAGCAGACTCTTTTTAAAAGATTTAATTCGGATGTATAAATACTTAAAATGCCTTTACTGTATCCCGCTACTAACATCTTGTTATCTAGCCATTCTAGGCAAAATATTTCGCAGAAATGCAAGCAGCAATGGTTTTCATGTATTTGCTGCAAACAATCGAAATTTTGATAAAATAAAAAAAGGTTTTGATAAATTAGAATAACAAATGCATTCTTACTTTATTCCTGAAGATACACCAAATACCGATCCTATTAGGAAATAAACCAACAGCAAATTTGCTGCCATCGGGTGCCCATTTAACGCAATGTTGAACTCCTTGTCCTGTGTTAGTTGTCGCTCTACGACAGCCTGTATCTGGATACCACATGTGCACTTCGTTTTCAAAAATTGTAGCTAGCCAATTTTGGCTACTCCAGTCGGCAAAATGATGACCTACAATGACTGTCATTTCTTTCAAAACCACAAAAATTTACTACTTAACATAGATGTGAGTCAAATTGTGGCGTATCTAGGATCATTTCAGGTGGACGATGACTGGTTTTCTGCGTAGTTTCACTGGCCACGTTTCATTCCACTGAGTGGAAACACTATTCAATGATTTTTTTTTTCGGGCGAAAAAGTTTAAAACTTTGGCTTCTAACGGAGGTAAAGTGTTCCTAGAGATTTTGAAAATTGCCGTGGTGGTATCGCACTTTGGCGTAATTAATAAATTCAACTTACTTTGAACATCTGGACTATTTAGCAACCCAGCGGCGTCACTGCTTCTCATTAAATCTATGTCAGTATTTATTCTATCGGGTATAAATCTGTCGAAGTATTTCTTGGAATTTATCTTAAAGAAAAAAAAATAGCAGCCTTTGATTGAAGACAGGATTTATACTTACGGAACCGAACATTTTTATTTTGCACATGCACTTAACCACTCAACACCAAGCGATTAATAAGTGAAGAGATAATTCTTTGTGCATGTTTTTATCTACGCTTTAGCTTTTTATTTTTAAGACGATGTTAAAATAAATATATTAAAAGTTTGATGCAATTAGTGTATTTTTTTAACATTATTAGTAGGGTTGCAATAAATACAGCCTTGTCAAATAGTCTGTTAAAAATAGTGCTTGGTTTTTTGGATGAACATTCGACCCCTGTTTTTCTCAAAATAAATTACATTGTCTTTCGAAATTGCAGTTAGTTGAAAGATATTTTGAAATCCCCGAAATTTGTTCCAGGTTCTAGAACAAATCTGCTGTTGTGTTGTGGTAACCCAAACTTCCCGCCTTAAATTGACCTTGAAAACGTTTGAAAGGCCCGCGAAAAATTCAAAAATTCAAATTTTGGCCTTGGCTGTGATCGTCTAACAAAATGGAAACCTACGTTGTGTGTGTTTTTTTTTAATGGCGGGAAGCCGTTCTTTCATACAAGTGAGCATACGCTGCGTATGTGTCGAGAGCGCAAGAAATAATAGACACAATTTTTGGGAGGGGGCAAAAAAATTGCGCCCCCTCTCTAGGAGGAAAGAAGGTGCGAGGGAAGGCGACACGGACTTGCCATCTCGTATTCACTCCTCAGTCCCAAAACCCCCTAGGTATATTCACGGACATATTACATTTCAAATGAAACACCTTAAAATATGAAAGAAAAGACGCTCGCGAATTGACAGACATACACATATGAAAAACGAACAAACGCAGAATCATATACATCTGTTTGGAATCAATGCAAATTCTTGAATATCACAAATTTAATAAAACAAAGCAAAATCTGAATTAAAATAATTGGATGCAAATACACAAGTTATTACGGGCGTGTGGCGTCAGACTTTAAAATTACGGCAGTTAACAGGAGCACAACAAAAGTACCCCTGGGGCGTTCTAGCACAAGCCGAGTTTGGGGCTACCGGTTCCGGCTGGTCTCCCCCGGGACGGTGCTATGGGCAAACCTATCGCTCAGCACCCCTCTATCTAACGAAGAGACGTACCGCGCAATTCAGACCGTTTCGGTTGAAAACTGTTGGTTGGAATGTCAAGGGCTATAAATAAGCTGACAGCTTCACGTCGTCCAGATCTTTCCCACTGACTCTATACAAAGCCTGCACCCCTTGTGCAGATGACGCGACAAATCCCGCTAGCCACCACTAGCAGCCGCGCCCTGCGCTTCTGCTACGTGTTTCGGTGTTATTTAACCTCAGTTCCATTTTTTTAAATGTTCAATTCCTTATGACTCTGATATTAACAACAACTGAACAAGTGTTAAGTAATTTGAAGGGAGCAATAAACAACATTTAAATTCGCCATACACTCTCGTGAAATTTTTAAACAGCAAAGAATTCTTATCTGAGATTAAGATTGGAGATCGGACAATTTATATGATTGAAGTATTAATCAACAAAATATTTACGTGATCAAAAAGCTAGCAAAGATTTATAAAAACTAAAAAAGATCTGGTGTGAAGTAAAACTTTTACTTTTTACTACAATTTAAATTATACACCAAAAAAAATTACTGAAGTTAAAATTATGAGATAGAGAAATATTGTATGAGGTGAAAAATTGCAAAGTTAACAAAACTTACATGATACTAATACTTGCCACACTTTATCAACGATTCAAACAAAGAGTTTACATTATGTTAAATTATGTCATGATCTAAGTGATTGGTTACTTAAAAAAAAACAATTTACTTATTAGAGAGTTTAAAATACCGCGAACTTGTTACCCCAACAAAACACATAATGAAGAGATACAAAAATATCCAATCATCGTTGCGAGGAAAAAGCGTCTCGGTGATGTAATTTTTCTTTATCGTTGGGAGGGAATACCTCGATGATGTATATTTTAGCGGTGGGAGGAATAAGCCTCGTTGATGTTATCAATCTCTAGCGTTGCGAGGACATCCCTCGATGAAGTAATCAATCTTTAACGTGGTGAGGACATGCCTCAGTGATATGATCATGATAACGACGATAATAACGATGATAACCGCCTAAGGGAAAAATTCTTTTAACCCCCCGCCAGTTCGCAATATAATGAATTTTATTTAACAGCCGTAAATGAACTATTAGCAATCTTGTGTGAAGAATTAAGAAGTGTTATAATGTAACACTTACATATATGCATCCAGAAACCTATTGGTAATTAAACAATAAAGGTGTTTTCCTGACTAAGTGAATTTCATGAAATCTTCTGGCAAGTGGTTTATTTAAATAATCCTAATTGTTAAATTGTGTTTGCACTAGCTGACAATTAACAAAAAATAACTTGATTGGTGAAATTACAAACAATAAAACAAATTTACAGCACGTGTTCCGCGTTGAAAGGTCGCATGTTTTTTTTTTTTTAATTAAAAATTTCAAGAATTAGCCGTGCGGTTTGGGGAAAGCTGTGTCATCATAGAAATTACGATTGATTGTCGTTATTAACTACCAAACCAATTAATTTAAACTAGCTCTTACCACGTGTTTTTAGATTCACAAAAACACATTCAGACTGCCTCTCCGCCATGCCGTCCTCTGTCTCTACCAAGCCGCCCTTTAACTAAAACATGCAGAACTACCTTGGGGCTTGGGCACTACATGCATATTTGGTTGCCTGTGTTTAAAGATTTTTGATTGAATGTTTTCTTTCAAATTCAAATTATTCAAATATGGATTTAAATTCGGTCACCACAATGTAAAAAATTGTTTGTGTTTACTTTTCCTAAGCCTCTCACCTATTAATTTAAATGTCACATGCTAGAGACAAAATTGAGCGTCGTTTTACGTACGCCTGTATTCAGCAGCCGCAGTCTATTCGGATCTAATACATAATTAATCAGATTACTTTTTATTGCCTCTCTATCTCCGCCTACGACGTAAATAAAATGTTTCATATTTCACTCATCTATTATTTCCTTATAATCGATATGATACCAGACAAATTAACAACTCTATAATAACCAGGCTATTATCAGAGGCTGTTACGAAGCATAACGCCCTCCAATTTTTTTAACAATTTTATTCAACATTAATAACTACAGCAGAAGGTACAAAAGTCAAAAAAGTTTCTAATGTGTCCGGAAATAAAAATTACAATTTTGAAGTGTCCCTGACATCAAAGAAGAAGCAGCAATTCCAGATGGTAAATGAAAGTTTTCGGTTAAAACAGAATTTTCTAAGTGGATAGCTTCCTTTTGAAGTAAGTTTGATGAATATCCTTTTGCTAAGGAAACAGAACTTGCAATCATTTGTCCTCATCGAATTTCCGTTTCAAAACTGCCTCCTGCTTCGACTAAAAAAGTCGACGATGTGCGTGGAAGACAGTGGCCTGTATATTGTTTCGGATTTTCCAATTTTAAGTAGCGAACAATAAATAGATGGAACACTTCGTATCGTATCGTGAGCTGCATGATCACAACATATTTTAAGAAAACGTTGTCAAATAAATCTTTTGCATACCTTGTTCAAAAGATGCGTTTCGTTAGGCGCATCTCTTATGATATGAACGTTAAAACTTGTTCCCCTCCTGATTTAATCAATAAAATAAATTGACTCATTCGTTAATTTTTTCGGGCGACCTGTTTAGCAAATCTAAAAAATATGAATGAAATGATAAATCACAAGTACATTATATTTTGTACATTTTAGATAGGACATATTCAGCAAAATTTTGGGGTGACGTCATCAGTTTTTTAGGGGGGATGAGCAAATACATTATGATTAAAAATTTACCATGCATAACCTGATAACTTTAAAACATCTTCAAGATTTCAAAGGATTCGGTTTTGTAGTTCCTGATTAAATAAATAAAATAAATTCACGCATTCATTAATTTCTTTTTAGTCACTCTGAATATGCAAATCCAAAAAATATGAATGGAATGATAAAGCACAAGTATTGTCTCATCATACTTTGCACATTTAAGACAGGATTTATTCAACAAAATTTTGAGGTGACGTCATTAATTTTTTGGAGGGGACAAGTAAATATATTTTGAATAAAAATTTATCATGGTTATCATAACTGTCAATCATGTGCAAGATTTCAAAGCATTTGGTTTTGCAGATTCCAAATTAATTGCAAAATGCTGTTTCATAATTTTGATTTTTTTTCAAAAAATCTGGACGTTGCTGGTAAAAACTCAATTTGGAGTCACAAATTACATGTGTAGGACTATGTTATTTTATACAATTTAAAACTCATTTACTATGTACAAGTGACGTTATCACATTATTGGTGGGGATGATTAGCCAAATTTTGGTTAGCATTTTACCATCTATATGATATTCTTAAAGGGGTCGTGAACTGGTTGCAACCACCCAGTCGACTGAGGCTGTGACGTCACATGTGCGAGTGTCGACTGAGAATCGTTCAGTTACGCATTGGAAAGTTAGACCTGAACGTGCAATTCACTTTGTTTTATTTTTAAATTCGTTTTGTAAGTAAAAGCTCTAATTATTAATTAGTATAAGCAGTAATTATTGTATTTATTGAATAGGTAAATCGAATATTTGCTATGAATGATCGGATAAAACCGTACGCATTTGAGCCTGAGTGTTCAAATAATAATCAAGGAAGTGAAATCGATAGAAAACCGAGTGAAAACAGAAGGGGAAATATTAATTGGTGTACTTGTGGACAATGTACAATTATGAGCACAGAATCCGAGAAAATTTCCGAAGTTAAAGGTGGACTAGATTGCATTACGGAACATGATTCGTTTTATAGTGTTGTTTTAAATATTGATACACTACAAGCTTCTCATTACCAAATAATGTATGAAACGACAAAGCCTGAAAAATACGACAAATAGTTTGTGGAGACACATTGCTTACAAGCAATTTGTATATTGGGTTACGCATGGGTTCCGCTAGGGAAAAAAAACGAAAAGTAATTCCTTAATTGCAAAAATTTGTGAAAAATATGAAAGTAGGGACTACGTAGGATTCAATAGTGTGTATGGAGAGGATCCAGATTATTTTGACTAAATTCAGAATAAAAATGTACATTAGACAAGTTTGAAATTATAAATATAGTAACAGAAGTTGTGTTTTAATTGCTACATAACTAATAGGAAAATCGAGAAAAATGTAAATTAGCTTCGTCTATTATTTCTTTGTTTATTTGTTCTCTTTGTTTATTTTTAAAATACGTTGTTTTACGCGATCTGGTTGTAGTGTTGTTGTGAACAAATAGCGAAGGTACGGAGTTCTCTTTTAAAAACAATGCAGTTTTCGCGAATTCACCTAGCAATTTCGTTTTCATTGAAGATGAAATTTCGAAATCATCTTGAAAGTGTATTGAGCACACTCGGCTACTCTTTCTTTGTTGGAATAAAGTTTTTCCTTTTCATTATGTCGAGCCATTTCCGGCATAATTTGGGTTTTTTGTTTATTTTGGGGAAACGAAAAAAAAAACTGTATCCTGTTTTTTCATTGTTATTGCATCCGTAGACACAACACTGTGGCATTTTTGATTTAAGATTTGACTTCAAATATGTTCGAAGGACGAGCGAATAGGAAAACATGTGTTGTCTTTAAGAATATATTTCCGAAACTACTAAGTATTTGAATTACAATATTAAGAGTACCGAACCTACCTGCGCGGTGAGGGTGAACAACCCTACAATTACTAGCCCCTCTGTTTTTATTAAAATATTCAAAGAAACATCAACAAACACTTTTCACGGCGTACAACACGTTTATCTGCCTAAGAACGCCCGAGATGCAAGCACGAATGACGTTACGCTTCGTTCGCATTTCCAGTTCAATGTTTTGTTACGACGTTATTTATAAACCTAGAAACAAGACAGACGGATAGACGGACAGACAGATGGAAACGGGGGACCTATTTTTTGTCTTCTAGGGGTTATGCACGATCGAGAACAAGTAAAAGTAGAGAGTCGGCCGACGGACTCGATTACAATACTTCCTTTGCTTACGCTCAGGAAGTAATAAAAAAATAGAATTACAATCTTAGTAAAATAGCTGTTGTCAAAAGTGCAGTAGTTGAGGAAACACTTAATCCAAGTTTTCGCAGATATTTGATCCACGTGCATCGGATTGGTTTGCTTTTGATGAATCCATATTGCTCCATAGCCATTAATTAGGAACAGTTTAGTGAAGTTTATTATTATGAATAGAGAATAGCAATGGGACGATAATTTGAAATTTCCAGTGTATCTCTAAATTCAAGCATTGGTGTGGATTTAACTATTTTTATTTTACTATTTCCTTCAGATAAAGTATTTAAAGATAAATTACTTGCCGTTTGCGTGATAAAAGAAACTGACATTTGTTTTCATTTATAGCAAAATGAATGTTGAGATTACATTTTTTTTAAGATAATCCGTTTTTATCGTCATTCTCATGACTCTCAAGTTTTACGCACTGAGATAAAGGCCACACACGTTTAGATACGGGTTTAGTTCACATCTGAATAGTAATCCTAACTTTAACGTAAAAGTAAGACTCTTTTAATTATCTACAATTTTTAACAAACAATTCGTATCAAATTGCTATTATTTTTGTAATAATGGAAACAACTGATCGTGACAGTGATGTGCGAAAATGGTTAACAGTTGCTCTAGCAGATGAAAATCTTGAAAATTTTTCACTCGATATAATTGGAAGTTCTGAAAAAGGTGACGGGTACTCGGGAGACATAATTTTCGTTTTTGTAACAGCAACTGACAAACAAGGCAACCACAAAGAATACAATCTTGTTTTAAAATGCAGCAAATCCAGTGCTGCTTTATTAGAAAATATACCTACTTTCAGACTAATATTTGTTAAAGAAGCTTACATGTATCAAAATGTTTTTCCCATTTTCAACGAGTTTCAAGTCAGTAGAGGGATTGAAAAACCCTTCAACAGCGTGCCCAAATGTTACGGCGTTTATAGTGACGAGTTCAGATATGTTATTGTATTGGAAAATTTGAAGAAATTAGGATACGACTTGTGGCCAAAAGCAAAACCACTATCAAGAGAAGTTATCAACATTGTAGTAAAAGACTACGCAAAATTTCATGCAACTTCAGTGGCTTTGGCAGAGCAAAATCCTGAAAAATTTCAAAAATTGCTCGAAGGTTCACCTGAAGATATAACGAAAGAAGCATTTAAGTCATCTGGATTTGAAAATATCTTTAAAAATGCTGTAGAAAATGTACATGAGTTGCTAACAAACGATGTGAAAAACGACATTTTAGAGAAATGGTTAAAACTTAAAGATCAAGTGTATTTTATTTTTGGTGAAATGGCACCAGATTTTGACGATTTAAAAGTGATAAGCCATGGAGATTGCTGGGTGAACAATTTTTTGTACAAATTTGAGGTGCGTAAGTCTAGAAATTTATATTTCAACTTTAATTTCATTTAATTTATAGAATGAAGAGAAAACGAACGTTTCAAAGGTTGCATTTTTGGACTGGCAAATGTCTAAATTCACATCACCTGTGACTGATCTGTCATATTTTTTGTTTGCTGGTATATCAGATGAAGATATTGCCGACATCGACAGTATTTTGAGAGATTATCATAAACACCTTTGCGAGTATTTAAGAAGACTTGATAGCAAGGTTGCAGATAAATATCCTGTAGAAAAATTTTTTGATGAATGGAAGAAGTACAGTAAATTTGGTCTATTGTTTTGTATTGTGCCAATCCAGTCTTTATATACCGAAAAAGAAGATCTTCCAGATTTTACTGAAGCTGCAGACAAAGGAAAAGACATTATGGAATCGTTTACATTTGAAGTCAAAAATAAAAGTGGTTTCAAAAATAGGTTGAGACCAATTGTTGAATATGCTTTTAATAATAATCTAATTTAATAAATTATTAAAAGTTAGCTAGTATTAATTTTTGAATATTTTAGTTACATAGTCTCCTATATTAGAAACTACCTATACTCTAAAGTAATATCCTTTATTTTAATATACAGTGCATCTTTTTTAAAAGTGGCTATAGGGATTACCATGTTAAATTTTAGAACAAAATGTATCGGTTTAACCCCTCCCAAGAAATTATATATTTTTATAATTACTGAAAAAAAATAATGAATGGGGAAATTTATTTTATTGATCTTATTAATATATATTAGACTGTGACTCGGTTTACAGAAGCTCAATTAAACATTTAATTGCGTTTAAATTTTTAACACGGCCATGTGACCGACTCTACGCCAATCAGACGTCGCTAAAGGTCTCATTAAATGCGTAGTTACCTTAATCTCAGTTAGAAAACTGAGCTTGTAGCTATTAAAATTGGGATGTGTCCTTGATAAAATGTTCATGACATCACACACTTTCGTTATTGTAAAACTCACTTGAAACAAACGTATAGCATGCTGTAGTTTAACAGTCTACACAGATGTTTATTTAAACGTGTAAGAATTATCATAAAAAAATAAAAGTTGCAAAAATTTATTTTATAATTTTTTGAGGAATGTACTCCTGTACTTCAGGGGAGAGAGAAGTTCTGTCGGAATAACTTTAGATCAATTTTTTATTGTTAAATATTCAACAAATTTGCACGACGAATGTTTAATGAGATAATCGAGTCGAGCTGTGGTTTAAATCATATGTACACAATCATCATGATTATAAATATGTAGGTATTGCATGCTAAAATGATAATCATTATTTACTAATTAAAAAAAACTGACTAATAATCTGGTACTTTATTCTCTACGCAATAAAATTAAACCAATTTAAATGAAATACTAAATTTCATGTTTATTTACTAATATTAACACTTAGATTTATCATCATTATTTGCAAATATTATCATTTTCATTTGTTTTTAATTTAACCGGTTGGGAGGAAAGTTTTGTATGCATCTCTGGAATAAACATTGTTAAAAATATTTGTTTATTCCCTTGATACAAAAATAACTATAGTTGTTGTCTGGATGATAAAGCTATCACTTTATAACTAACTTGCTTGCACTTCTGCATTACTCGTCGTAAAAACTGTTTGATAATTGTGATGATTGACTATATTTCTGTTTAAGGATTTTGAGAGAAATATTACGCTATTATCACTGATTATTTCATGACATTACAAGTTTTAAATTGCCACTGAGATAAAAGCCACTCACATTGTAAATCGGTTCAGTTCACATCGAAACAGTGAGCCTAACTTTAAGTTTACATAATTCACTAAAATGGAAACAAGTGATCGTGACAGTGATGTTCAAAAATGGTTAAAAGTTGCATTAGCACAAGAAAATCTTGACAATTTTTCAGTTACGATAACTGGAAGTTCAGAAAAAGGTGATGGATATATAGGAGACGTAATTTTTGTTACTGTAACAGGAACTGACAAACAAGGCAAGAACAAAGAATATGATCTTGTTTTAAAATGCAGTAAACCTAGTACTGCCTTAATGGAAAACGTACCTGCTTTCAGCACCGCATTTGTGAGAGAAATTTATATGTATCAACATGTTTTTCCACTTTTTAAACAACTTCAAATCACGAAAGGTATTGAACAACCCTTTGACAGCGTACCGAAATGTTATGGCGTTTATAGTGATGAATCCAGACGTGTTCTTGTGCTGGAAAATCTGAAGAAATTAGGGTATGACTTGTGGCCAAAAGCAGTACCATTAACACGACAAGTTGTCGATCTTGTCATAAGACAATACGCAAAATATCACGCGACTTCAGTGGCTTTCGAAAATCAGTATCCTGAAAAATTTCAAAAATTGCTCAGCGACTCAACCGAGGATATGCTAAAACAGTTGATTGAATCAGACGATTTTGTAAAATTGTTTAAAACTACTGTGGATGAGGTATACGATGTGGTAAAAGATGATGTTAAAAGTGACACCTCGGAGCAATGGCTAAAGCTTAAAGATCAAGTTACTTTTATATGTGGTGAGATGACACCTGATATCGACGATTTAAAAGTGATAAATCATGGAGACTCTTGGGTGAACAATTTTTTATACAAATTTGAAGTACGTAAGTTAACAAGGTTGTGTTTCATCAGCTGATTTAATTTATTTTATAGAATGAAGACAAAACGAAAATTTCTAAAGTTGCGATTCTTGACTGGCAACTTTCTAAATACACATCACCTGTAACTGACCTATCATACTTTTTATTCGCTAGTTTATCGGAAGAAGATATTGCTGACATTGACACTATTTTGAGAGATTATCATAAACAGCTTTGCGAGTATTTAAGAAAACTTGATAGCAATTTTGCAGGTACATATACCTTAGAAAAATTGTTCGAAGACTGGAGGAAGTACGGCATATATGGTTTGTTGATATGTATTTATCCAATCAAGTCTTTATATTCGGGAAAGGAAGACCTTCCAGATATAGCTGAAGTTGCAGACAAAGGAGCAGCATTTACTGAATCTTTTAAATTTGAAGCCAAAGATAAAAGTGGCTTCAAAAACAGGATGAGACCAATTGTTGAATATGCTGTTAAGAATAATCTAATTTAATAAACTTGTTGATATTATTATTTCAATATTTTAGTAGTCTGTTATCTCGGAAAGTATCCACAATTAATCAATCCTTTTCACTTTGGTTTCAGTCAATGTAATTTATCATGAAATAATGTATAAGTATCCGGAATTTGATAAATTAAGCCTTAATATACCTAATAAAAAAGTTAAGACGGGAGTAAATCACAAGTAAAACGCTCTGCTCAAGTGCGTTTTATAAATTTGCTTCATGGTGCAAGACAGATTTTTTTATTTCAAATTTGGAGGTTCTTTTTGAAAGTTATAGGTATAAGATTTCAACTTTCATGTGTTGAAAATACGTAGATACCGTGTATATGCAGTGTGAGTGCTTCTTTTAACTTCGAAAACTTCATCAGAGGTACAGCTTCGGAATTTAAAGCTTGTGGATAAGTAAGCAAATGATGTTGATCGTCCTGGTAGTGAAGGGTTCTGACGAAAATTGTCAAAACATATTTATAATATAGTTAAACGTTTTTTAATCGCTTGGGGGATCAAGTATCTCCTCTTTTAAGAGTTTAGTTCACTGCACACATAATATCAAAGTTATATAAAAGACAAAAAAAATTCTTAGTCTTGCACAAAATCGGTAAATTAATTAGACAGGTTTCTCAATCACTTTTAGTTAAAATAGAGTAAATAATACTAATTTTTAATTTTGGTATCATGTATGTGTAGAATTAAATAAACTTTCAAAAGAGCGGTCGTGCCATTTAAAATTTTTCACCTCTATGTAATACTTTTGACATTTCAAGGTCAAAGGGTAGCATTATGAGAGGAATTAGCAGCATCATTTGATTACTCATCTATCGTTTTAAAATTCAAAGCTGTACCTCAAACATTCCAAAGGACTGACTGTAAAACTCCACTGTATATGACTCTCATGTCAATAGAATTTCTTAACTATATGTACTATCATTTTAACCCCAAATATAGTGGTAAAGTCTCTAAAGATAACTATTACTAAATATCGCACAATTAATTTGAACTTGAAGCTATAGAAGTCCCCAATAATGTATTTGCAATAATCAACAACTAAAACTGGCAACAGTGCTACGAATTTAGGCATAAAATTACGGACATAAATTTGAAGTCTAAAGTCGCGTATGTGGTACAGTAAAGAAATTAAGTTTATATATTTTTCTCTCAAAATGCCAGATTCAGATTATCATATATTTGAAACAGACTTTGTGAGTCCTTGGTATTTTTTTTCATGGATTATTATTTTCTTGCATACTATACCTGTCTTAATCATTTAACCAAAAAGAAAGCTGGATCTATTGAAAAGAATTACTGCAAATATATTTACAGAATTACAGAAATGTGTTGCTTATCACCTAGTATCAAACAATTTGGTTTGTCTGTCGTCTCGTCCGGATTTTTTTTTTTGATAGTTACAATTCTAAAAATCTCTATTTCAAGTCATTGCAATGCCAAAGATAATAATTTTACGAAATAAACACCTCACAGGATAGACTTGCCCTTTTTTGAACTACGTACTTATCTATTAAACTGCTTAAAATAAAGAGACCTACACTATTACTAAATCTAAATTCACTTCAATATTTTCCTGGTGCTTCATGTCATCGATCATAAAATGCCTGAGAATCTAACAGATTTTTGCGATTACACCATTGCAACGTCGCTAAATCATTTGAAAATGGCGTCTTAGTTGGTTAAGCGTGAAATTGTCGAACTTGTGCTCTTCCTCATGTAGGTTCAAATCCCATTCTTACTGTTTTTTTTTTTCACTGCGATTTGTATTATCTATATTGGTTTTTTATATAAGTGTTATAAAATAAATAAAATTTTGCAAAATCAAATGTTATATTTCTTCTAAAAAACAGGACTCGTTCGATTGTATTTAAGGGGCAAGGGAAGTTCTGTGTAAATAACTTTAGATAATTTTTATTTCGCAATTTATATTGCACTCTATCTTGACTCTATGCCATAGAAAAAGCTTTCTAAAGATGAGCTTCTAGATATTTTTATGAAATACACACAGTAATCATAACTGCATTCAATTTTTGAATTGTGAATAACTATAGCGGATACAGTTTTTCAACCAAGGGCCGGTTGATCTAGATAACTTAGTTTGACAATAATAACAGTAACTACTAAATGGGTATGGAATAAGCTAGTTCTGCAGACAGTTGTTAGTGTCAGAAATGGTTTTATTGCATCACATATTTTGCAAAACACTAACTTTTGTTGGTTAGTACATCTACTTTAGTTTACCACAGTTTTAAATTAAATTATTTTCTGCAGCATATTTCACAAGATATTTTATTCTTTTCCTGTAATCACTTGTATTCTTGATAGGTTGCGTGAAAGCGTTTGCAATATCTTCTCCCTTTTCGGCTGTTTGCGCCATATCAGGAATTTCACAATTTTCGGACAGAGAAATTTTATGGATAAGTGTGGCTATCGTAAGACCAAACTTCGCATACTTCTGCCATTCTTCTAAAAATTGACTTAGTGGATAAAGAGATTTTTTGGAACCCAGTGCTTCTAAATGATCTGTTAAGCACTGATGATAGTGTTTCTTGATAGTGTCCACATCTTGAATATCCTCTTCTGATAAGCACGAAAACAGAAAATAAGATAGGTCGAAAATAGGCGACGAGTAACGTATAATTTGCCAATCCAACATGGCAAAAGAAGAAGGCTCTCCATTCTGTTTAAAGAAATAATTAATTAGTTATTTATGTAATTTATTTAGATAAGTAAATACGTACTTTCTGATAATGCATGAAATTGTTATTCCAGCAATCACCATGTAAAATCACGTTTAGATCTTCCACACTGTGACTGCTCTGTTCAAAAAATTGGCCTAAATTTAGTTTAAAATTATGCAACTTTTGTAAGATATTTTCATCCAAGTCATTTTTTAACAAATTCTGAATTACAGTGAAGTTCTGTTCATACGCACCAACTATATCACTTGACTTAAGAAATTTAGAATATAAATTATCTATTCCGTCTACTAACATTTGAAAACGTTCAGGCTCTTGATTTTGCATCGCAATGGAAACTGCATGAAATTTTCCATATTCTTTGACTACCATGTCAATATGTCGTCTTGTCAGAGGCTTTCTTTTATCCCACAAAGTGTAACCTTTGCTTTTAAGGTTTTCCAAAGCAAGAAATTCACTGTTGCCAGTATTCAGCGTACCATAGCATTTAGGCACTTTTTCGAAAGGCTCAACAGATTTTCTCTGGTTCTGAAACTTCTTGAAACTTGGAAAAATAACGTCGTAAAAATATATTTCGTTAAGAAATGCATCTTTTACTGGAGCCTTTTCTCGGAGGGCTTCACTAGTTTTTGAACATTTTAAAACAACATTAAATTTCTTACATGTTTCTTCTTTAGTTGTTCCCCTTACTTCAGCAAAAATTATGTCTCCGACATAGCCGTCACCTTTCTCCGAATTTCCAAGCACATCGAAATCCAAGTTTTCAATATTTTCGTTTTTGAAAAGTTTTTTTAAACACGTTTTCACTTCACTTTTAGTCGTTCGTTCTGGATTCATGGCTGAAGATAATGTCTGAACGTGAACCTTATTTGAACTGCAGCTTTAAATGAAATTTCAAGGTTGAATAAGATACGCGCAAAATTGGTGATTAACGATTGTTAAACTGACTAGTAACGATTTTGTCAAGGACGTAGCGAAGATTAGAAATTAACAGTGAATAAGTAATTTTATATAGATAGATTAATTTAAATGCGGGAAATAAATTTGTTTATGCTTACGATAGTGTTTTATTTCACATTCCGCATTTCATCATTACAGTGTAACTTCGTGTTCATAACAATTTTGCAGAACAATTTCGGTGAATTAAAAAAAAAAATAATTCCGAAATTTGACTGAAGACACCAAAATTTTGTAATTTACAATATTTAGATATAGTCCAAACGAGTTGTTAAGTTAGTACCTATTGTAAACCTAAAATTTGGTCTAAGTGCATCTCAAAACTTTGACACTTGAAATTTATTATATTAATAACGTCTTACTTGTTTGTGCTGTGGTTAAATAGAATTTACAGCCAATCTTAAAATCACCACTGCAATCCTAATTAATTACACGTCTAAGTTAATTATACTGTTTTGAATCTTCTGTTAGTATGTAATCATGTTTGTCAATACGGTGACATTTCAACTACTTACTTAAAATAATTCTTTTAGATGTTTATTATAATTATTAAATTTTGAAGAATTTTTAGAAATTTGAAAACGTATTGTTTCAATTTCCATCCGCCTATATACTTATTAAAATTTTTGTAGTTAAAATTACACAAATGTCTGTCACTTTATAATCTCTAAGAGTAAAGATCCTTGTCAACACAACTTGTTGATAGAGAATTTTTTGCCTATTTTGTACTATAAAATATTACTCATTGTCTTTGATCCGAGTAACATAAATAGTCTTAATTAATTAAACAATGAATATTAAAAAATGTATAATACATAATTATTGTTCTTGCTAACTAATATTTGTGGACTTCATGCAGGGAAGTCACTGAAAATAGAATAATGATTTACTGCACCATTATCTAATTTTATACGTTTAAGATAATTAAAGTGACTTAAAAAGGATGCACTCCAGCAAAACTCTACAGTATTCTATTCGCGTGAATCTCGTATACAGACAAAGTGAACTCATAATGCGTGATAACCAAATTTCAGACTTAATACAACTCGCAGTAAAAAATGAAAATTTCATTGACTACAAATTAGACATTCATGGAAAATCAGGACCCGGTGATGGATACATGGGCAAAATCACCTTTGTTACTGTTACTGGCAAAACTAAAACACAAGAAACAAAAACGTTGAACTTGGCCATCAAATCTTCCACAGAAAACCAAATCTTTAGAAATCAGGTACCCATCAAACTGCTTTTTGAACAAGAAATTTACATTTATGACAAGGTCATACCAACTTTTAAAAAATTTCAACAAGAAATGGGATTTCGAAGCCCAGTTTTAGAATCCTTACCTACATGTTATACTACGCAGCGGGGTGAAAACGAAGTTTTAGTATTGGAAAATTTAAAAAACAGAGGTTTTGACCTTTGGGATCGGACAGTTCCGATGGATATGGGTCACATTAAAACACTTTTAAAAGCTTATGCAGAATGGCATGCATTTTCGTTAGCTTTGAGGTGGAAAAATCCTGAAAATTGTCAAGAACTTGTGAAAAACTACGTCAATATGTGGTCTTACCATATCCACCAAGTCGAAATTGAACCTGTGTTTTTTCAATACCATGAAGAAGTGAGAAAGTTTTGGGAAAAGGACGAAAAGGATATAGCCTCACTTAAGTTTTCAAAAGATACTATCAACTATATTCTCCATAAATTAATTGCTGAGGATCCAGAATACCACGTTATATCACACTGTGATGGGTGGACAAATAATTTCATGTTCAGACTGGAGGTATTTAGATCAATTTCTTTTTGAATTATTTTATTGTGAGATACTGTTTCAGCAAAAATCACAGAAACCAGTAGAAGCTTCTATAATCGACTGGCAGCTTTCTGGTTTATCGTCACCAGTGTTGGACTTATCTTACTTCATTTACACCTGTGTTGACACTCAAGAGCATGCAGATGTAAAAGAATTGTTAAAAATTTATTACGCTTCACTTAGTAGCTCTTTATATCAACTTAAATGTGATCCTTCCGAAGTTCTGTCTTTTAACACGTTAGTTCAGCAGTGGAAAAAGTTCTCGTGCTATGGACTGCTTTTTGGAACTTTTATCCTACGATTTTCTCTGTGTGAAAGTGGTGATGCTCCCGATTTTGTGGAAGGCATTCCAAAGGGAAAAAATTTGTTGAAAATTTTGATTTCAACATTTCGAATCGAGAAGTGTATTATAAGCGCGTTAGAGATAATATGTTACATTATGTAAAAAATTTAAACGCATAAAAATATTACAGATGCAGTAAAAATTGTTTTAGTGGCATATTTTGTTTTTTTTTGGGGGGGGCCTGGACAATAATATACGAATATTAAGATGAAGCTTTCTAAAGTTTGATCTGTTAAAGGAAATATGAACCAATCGACTTATTTTCAAAGTTCAATAAGATAAACACAAAAATGGTGAAGAGCCAGAAATTTGTAGTTGCAATATTTGAATACAATCCAATAAATGTATGGATACATGTCTCATAACCTCTACAATATTGAACAAGATATTTTCTTATATAGTGTTATTCCTATACTAAATCTTGTTCTACACAAAACTTCACGAGATATTGCATTCGTTTCTTAAACCCAGATGCATCCTTAATTTTGACTGCCATTGATTTGGCAATATCGAACCCTTCTTCAGCTGCTTGGACAGAGTCAGGGACTTCTTCTCCAAGTCAATGAAAATTTGTGAATTAAGGTGGTAATAATAATTCCAAATTTGCTGTGTTTTTCCATTCGTCCAAAAACTGACTGTATGGATACAGTTGCTCAATATTGCTTCTTAATTTTCTTAAATGATAACCTAGTGCTGTGTGGTACAATTTTAAAATTACATCTACATCACTAATATCTTCTTGAGACAGACACGCAAAAAAAATACGATACATCTATTACAGATAAACAAATCTTGGACGTCTGCCAGTCTAGTATGGCAAATATTAGTGGCTGGTTGTCCTGAAAGATTAAATAATAAAGACCTGTATTTTATCAAAATGTACGCTTACTTACTACGTGATAATGCATAAGATTGTTAATCCAACAATCGCCGTGTACCACAACATTCATTCCTTCTAAGCCTTCACTAACCTTTTTCAAAAATGGTTGAACTTTTGGTTTCAGATTTTTCCACTTTAACATCAAGCTCACCTCATAGAAGTTCATATAATTCGTCTACTGATTCTTCGTGTGTGGTTAATATGTCTGTGTATTCATAAATTTTTCCCCAGAAGTCACCGCATTTTTCGGCTAGTTGTTGAAACTTCTCCGGTTGTTGATTTTTAATAGCGATGGAAACTGCATGGAATTTTCCATATTCCTTGATAATCATATCTATAAGTGGCATCGTCAAAGGCTTTTTTTTGACTTTCAAGTTGTCAAAAGGAATAACTTCTACATTATCCGAGATGAAAGTTCTATAGCAGTTTGCTACCTTGTCAAAAGGATTATCTACACCTTTGTTCAACTGAAATTTTAAGAAATACGGGAAAATTGTTTCGTAGAAATAGATTTCATTTAAAAACGTACAGTTCACAGGAAATTTTCTTCGAAAAGCTCTGCTTCGTTTGGCACATTTAACAACTAACTATAGTTGGATTCATGTATCTTTTTACACACGTGACCAAAGTATCAAACAAGCTCAGACAGCACCTACCATAGGAATATTTGTTTTAAGGATTACAAAAACAAAGAGCCAGACAAATAGTATGTCTACCGAAATGAGTCCAAATTACGCTCGACGTCAGTTATTCTTCCCACAAAGGTTCTCGAATTACACAAAGATAAAATGCGTAATAAATGCGTCCACATCGTGCGACAGGCACTGATGTAGTCAATCTACTGACTGTTAATAATTCATCGATTTTTCATCAAACGTCACCGTCATTTTTCGTTTTACTCAGAGTAGTTAATTGCAGTTTTCGATTCAGTTCTTCGTAAAGTTCGTTGATTGTTAGTATTCTTGTTTCGTTGTCCTATTTTCTGTTTTGCTATCTTATTTCTTGTTCGTGTTTGGTCTACAACGTACCGGGCAAACCTTTGAGTTCTCGTGCCCAGGACATAGTGTCCAACCTTACAGAGTATTTTACTCTTGAGAAGGCAAACGGTGGTCCTTTAATCTAATAAGTAAAGTATATGGAATATATGTATCGATTCTTTCAAATGCATAATGTACCAAATAGAACACATTACATTCCTTCCTTGAACAGCAATGTCGCACCATATTGTTATTAGTCACAGTAAAATTTGGTTTTTCGAATCTGCTATTAATTAATTTTAAACTTTTAGTTTTGCATGTAGTTCAAAAATTACTCAGCTTTGATGTTCCTTACACATTTTGATGCTAAGCGACGTAATTTTGTCGAAATGTAGGTAATTAAATGTAGAAAATTGTGCTACCGGGAACCGGGCATGTTGTAACAACATCTTGGGGCAAGTTGTAACATGTTACAACTTATCCCAAATTCACTTCTACAAATTTTATTTATTTTATTTATTTTTATTTATTTTATTCTATTACGTCCCCCAACAGGCACCGAGGCCCAATTACAGGGGAACGGGACATACACGTTACACCCAGAGCCATGGCGGGAATCGAACCCACGACCCAAGGTGTAGCGGGGAAGCATGATGCTAACTAGCCCACCCCGGGTCCTCAAAAATCTCGTACCTAGCATACGACAAGCAAGCCAAAATTTTGACCTATGCCATATATCGCTTTCCAGATATATTTTAAGAAAAAGGAAAACAAAACTCAAATCTTTTAATGTTGACTGTTTTTCTAAAAGTTTATTTCAGTTTTACTGATATATATTATATATAATGAAGTGTTGCGTTGATTTTTGAAAAATAAAGTCTAAATTTGTATCAACATCAGCTTTATTTTTACTGTTACTAGCTGCCTCATGGCTGTTACAACTAGCCTCAAACGCGGGGCAAGTTGTAACAATGCACTTTTTTTACGAAAATGCCTGGTGTGAAGTGAATATTTTTTAATTTTGACCTTTTGCCTGTTCAGTCCAATAGGAGAATAGTTAGACTACCGACACATATTTTTATAATGGTCAAACAGTTAATAGATACCAAATGTTAAGTTTTGATGGATTATGAATAAGAGCAGCGGACAGTCGTTTTATAGTTTTATTAAATAAATAACAAGTGTGTTCTAGAGCGAGTATGATATTATGACCGTTAGATCCAGAGATTGAATATAAAGACTATGTTAACCGCTTGAAGAGTGCTTGAAGAGTCAATGATGAATAGTGAATGAAATTCCCTGTGTTTCAAGGTGGTGGTGGCCCTGGCTCCCACCCTTACGGGTGGAGAGGGGTGAAACAGGTCCCCGCCAGAGGCACTAACATACCCCCCGCCTTGAAACAATTACATTGTTTTAATACCAAATAATAGAATGTTAGAGTGATAACATGATATCATAATGATCAATTCAAATGAGAATACATGAGTAAGATTTACTACAATTAACATTGTATAGAATGGATTAACAGTGATTATGCAATATGGGCAGTAAACTAAGAATAGCGATTTACAACAAGTTGCCCACATACAATAAGAATGAATGTAATTTATAGGTACTTGGAATACACCTGAAAGAGAGATTTACAACTCTTTATCAGGTACAATACGAGTGGACAAACTTTATTTACAATAGTGTGTAGATAACCAGAACCCGAATTAGTAAATGGACAAGCCGTTTCCGAATAGGCGCACTTTATGATGCAATTTCGACACTGCACTACGCGAACAAGATCGTCTTTGCCGCGATGCACTTGCACTATTCGTTGTAATAGCCACCGCAACGGGTGCCGGTTGTCTTCTTTGATCGGTAGTACCAGCGCTCCAGTGCCGGGAACGTTTCTTGAGAGGGTTTGCCACCTGGATCTCCCCTGCAGCGTCGTATGATATTCCACGGACCAGCGCTTCCAAAAATGTTGGCGGCAGGATTCACTCAATTGCCAACGGGAAAGCATGTTGACAGGAGTGTGGTCCTTTTCTATTGGAGTTGTCAATGGATGGCCAACGAGACAATGTCCCGGAGTCAGTGCGGCTAACTTCGTAACGTCGCTGGAAAGCGGCGTCACAGGGTGCGAATTCAGGACAGCTTCAATCCTGACCAAAAGCGCATGCATCACCTCGTACGTTAGATGGTTGTATCCGATAATGAGCTGGATGTGAGTTTTTACGAATTTAATCCACGCTACCCACAAACCACCAAAATTGGGCCCACGCGGGGGAATTAAAGTCCATTTGATATTTTCTGGTTTTAGCTTATTCTGAAATTCTTTCCCTAATAGCAATTCGCTTAGCTTGCGCTTAGTACTTACGAAATTTGTGACGTCGTGACTAATGAATGCTGCATATAAAAACGATTCTTTTTGGTTATCCCACCTGATATCTAAAGTTTTATTATTGTATTGTTTGTCAGTTATTAAACGATTACTGTTGGATGTAGCCTGAGCGCATTCTTGTATATCAGGACAATTAGACGACCATTTACTTATCTTGGAACTTGCCTTCGCCAGAACGGTCTTTAAGTCGTCTTTGGGCTCGATTAATTTGACTAAAGAATTTGAAACGAACAATGCCTTATCGACATAAAAACAATGATTGTGTTCAGGAGATTCTAGCCACATGATTTTTTGATAATTGCGGTCGTCAGAGTGAAGCCAACCGCACCGGTACATCTTCGATATATCACATGTATTGATAAATTGGGGCAAACGAAATTGAATTAGAATGGTGAAAGGTTCGGACTGCAAAACGGGGGCTGTTAATGAGTTGTCTTTTAGGCTTAAATTGTTTGAGCTAAAATTTGAACGGTCAACAACCTCGCAGAGTTTAATGGAAGAAATGTAGGGATTGTAAAGACAATTGTGTGGCAGGTAACTAGGATTATTTAAAGAATTTCCGTTAAATACCTTCAGGTGTACAAGGTCTAGGTACTTCCTTAGAAAGATAATAAAACCCTCGGTAAGTTTATGGTCACGACCCTCTGTGAACAATAACGGTTGGAGAACCCCTTCTTGGGAATTTCTTAATTGAGGTGGATTTTTGAAATAAGGGACTGTGGAACGACCCAACTTTTCCGAAAAGAGGAGTTTAATTACGAAACGACCATCGGGTGAATGGCCGGTGGTATTCTGAAAAGGGGTTGCAAAAACAGAGGTTTTTAGACCTTTGCTTAATAACCTGCTTCCGGTTTTGACAGTCTCAACTTCAAACAAATGAGAAATAATTTTATTCAAACTAATATTGCGATGACGGGAATTTCTTAAATGCCCAAAACTGCCGTTAAGAATCAACCCCGGCGCGGTATTTTGATGCGCCGGTGGATTTTTAATAAAATGATTTTGCATTTTAAGTTCGGCATTTTCTGAATGTTTTTTCTTATCGAGTATTGCTACGATTGACGTGTCGATGCTATGAATATGTAATTCCAAAGCCTTGCCCAAATTTTCGGTGATGAATTGAGATTGACTCCCGATGTCCAAGAAAACGCGACATTCTTTTACTTTACCTGATTGGCCCATTACGCGAATCAAACCGGTGGATAAAAGTACACTAGACGGAATAGCTAAATTACATTTCGAGGTGTCTTCAGGATTATCGGAATCCTCATCTGGTTTATTTTTGATTTCATTCTTGGGAAGGTTATTGTTTGTTTCTGTGTGCAAAAGCGTGTGGTGCTTCTTATGACATTGTTTACAACGCCTAGATATGTAACAATTTTTCGCGACGTGATTACTTCTTAAACAATTGAAGCAACGATTCATTTTCTTTATTTGTTCCACTCTATCGTTGGGCGTTAAACTTAAAAAATTTGTACAATTGAATATGTTGTGCATTTGGGAACATATAAAACACGGGATTGATTGATTATTGCTTACTTGTACCTTATTTGTGTTTGATTTTAATGATTTACCCAAATATTTGGTTTGGGATTCACATTGTTTACCGGTATCCAATAATGAGCTACAATCTTTCAAATTATCTGTAGGACTTTTTATTGGAACTAACGCGGTGTCTGATTTTGGATTGGATGTGCTATCTATCTTAGTTTGGGACATGCCCACAGAGTTGCAAAAATTATTATCAGGATGATTTTTCGGTTTGTTGGATATTGAATCTGATAATAATTTGTGAGAATTCGGTATTAACTTATGCGTTTCTGAAATAATGACTTTTTTGTTGTCGATAGTTTTATAATTAATGAATAGTGCAGGGGTAAACCGCACCTTAACCGGAGCATTGGCAGTCTTATGAAGTTTAATGGGTTCTCCATTTAGCATGTTGTCCACTTTTATGGGTTTTAGATTTTCACAACGTTTTTCGAGATGAGCATTGTTAGTATTTACATTAAACGAATTCGGGAAAGGAAGATGATACAACAAATCGGCTTTTTTGATTAGAGCAGTATATAATTCCGATATTTCATGGATATAGGTTTGCACGGGTCCGAGATTATAAACTGCGGGTTTGTTAGATTCTTCGCTACTCGTGTCATCTAAAAATACCACGATTTCCGATTTATGTTCAACTATAAGATTTTGTACGTTAGATTGTACCCGTTTCAAATCTTCCAACCTGCATCTTAATTCGCCTATTTTTTGGTGGTTTGTAACTTCCGAGATGAACTCCGCATGTGAATGTATATAATTAACAAGAACGATAAATTTCCAGAGAGATTTGTTATTCGACATCGTCAGTACGAGAATAATGCACTACGCAAAATGGACAAAACTAAAGCCTACCTGAGTTTCTTGATGAATGACCCTCGATGATTTGCACTGCACTCGCGGCCGTTACCGATTTTTGAATACTTGATGATTTAGGTGGAATGTTGAATTCCAAGCGATGATGATTTATCGAACTACACTTATCACTTATCACTGTTACCTACTGATTTTCTGTCGCTGATCCGGCTCGAAGGACCATGTTAAGTTTTGATGGATTATGAATAAGAGCAGCGGACAGTCGTTTTATAGTTTTATTAAATAAATAACAAGTGTGTTCTAGAGCGAGTATGATATTATGACCGTTAGGTCCAGAGATTGAATATAAAGACTATGTTAACCGCTTGAAGAGTGCTTGAAGAGTCAATGATGAATAGTGAATGAAATTCCCTGTGTTTCAAGGTGGTGGTGGCCCTGGCTCCCACCCTTACGGGTGGAGAGGGGTGAAACAGGTCCCCGCCAGAGGCACTAACACCAAATTATATTCGTTTTCCTAAAAACTGTTACAACAAGCCCCTCGTTCCCCTATTACCACTGCATAACAGTGTTGTGCTAATAGGGGCTCCACTTTAGCTGTAGGTAATGAGTTACAAGAAAATATAGATTGTGTAACTCATTACCTACAGCTAAAGTGGTTACATAAATGAAAACAACGGTGACAAAAAATTTTGCAGCAAAACTAGTGCAACCTGAAACTTAATTTTTCTATAAATCGAGGTAATATAGTTGCGACAAGCAGCGTATATACAACTTACTTATAAAATTTATGTTGTACATATTTTGTAAGGTCGTTTAATGTTATTCGACACATGATAATAAACTACAACCGCGAATTTATAGAACACACCAGACTATTGCTTCAGCTCTAATTATTTCCTTTTTAACTTTGTTTTTAATAAAATTAAAATATTAGAGATACTCTAAAATTGAAATAAAATTTCAACAACTATCAAGAATTAAAATATCCAAATAATAACATCATCTAAGTCTTAACATTTTATTAAATTAGACTATTTCTGACAGCATACTCGACAATTGGTCTCAACCTGTTTTTGAAGCCATTTTTATCACTGAGTTCAAATTTAAACGATTCGCCAACATTTAATCCTCGATCGGCAGCTTCAGCTATGTCCGGAAGATCTTTCTTCTCCGAATATAAAGATTTGATGGGCATAATGCACATCACCAAACCATATTTACCATACTTTTTCCATCCGTCAAAAAAATTCTCTACAGTATATGTATCTGCAAACTTGCTACCTAGCCTTCTTAAATACTCGCAAAAGTGTCTGTAATAGTCTTTTAAAATCGTGTCGATGTCAGCAATGTCTTCTTTCGATATGCCAGCGAACAAAAAGTATGACAGGTCAGTCACAGGTGACGTGAATTTGGAAACTTGCCAATCGAGTATAGCCACCCTGGAAACGGTCGTTTTCTCTTCATTCTATAAAATAAGTGAAATTTAACTTAAAATACAAATCTGTTGGCTCACATACTTCAAATTTGTACAAAAAATTGTTCACCCAAGAGTCTCCATGGTTTATTACTTTTAAGTCGTCAATAGCTGATGTCATTTCAACTAAAATGAAATAAACTTTATCTTTGAGCTTTAACCATTGTTCTAAAATGTCCTTTTTAACATCTTCAGTTAGCAGTTCAGATACCTCTTCCACCGCACCTTGAAACATTTTTGCAAAGCCAATTGTTTCAATAAATTCTTTTACTAAATCTTCAGCTGAATCCTCAAGCAATCTTTGAAATTTTTCAGGATGCTGCTCTTCGAGAGCCACTGACGTCGCATGAAATTTTGCGTAATCTTTTATTACCATATCTATAACCTCCCTTGTTAGTGGTTTCGCTTTTGGCCACAAGTCATACCCTAGTTTCTTCAAATTTTCTAACACGATAATATGTCTGAAATCATCGCTATAAACACCATAACATTTCGGCACGCTATCAAAGGGCTTTTCAATGCCTTTGCTAATTTGAAATTGTTTGAAAAGTGGAAAAACATGCTGATACAAGTAAGCTTCTCTTACAAATGCTTTCCTAAAAACAGGTACGGTTTCCATCAAAGCAGCACTAGGTTTGCTGCATTTTAAAACAAGATCGTATTCTTTATTCTTGCCTTGTTTGTCAATTCCTGTGACAACAACGAAAATTACGTCTCCTACATATCCATCACCTTTTTCAGAACTTCCAGTTATCTTTACTGAAAAACTTTCAAGATTTTCTTCTGCTAGAGCAACTTTTAACCACTTTTGAACTTCACTGTCACGGTCAGTTTTTTTTTCCATTATTACAAAAAAAACAGCAATTTGTTTCTTAGAAATTAGGTAGCCGTACGTTTAACGTAACATTCAACAGGCTGTTCATATGTGAACTGAACCGGTTTATCAATGTGTGTAGTTTTTATATGATGAGTTGATGATTGAAATTGTGTAGTGTAATACAACAGAAAAACGTAGGGATCATGTTTGTCAGCATTTTTAAACATCTTAATCATGATAATAATTGTTTATTTAGCTTTTTACAAATCTTAACGCAACGTATATTTCTGATGTACAAAGTGAAAGTGGTTAATTCAGTTTTAAAGTGATTATTTGTTATCGCTTTATCGTTCAGATAACAACTACTTAATAATGTCTGTGATTTAATGGGTGAAAAGGATATTTCTTAAATTTCTTCAAATCCTCATAGTTTATACCTATTATTTTTGTATTACGGCTAATTTTGTTTCTTTTTTATAAAAAATATAATTACAAGTTTAACATATAATTATATTATCTGATACGTGTACACGAAATTTACTATATAGATTGTATTTCTTGTTCACTTTGTCATTACTGGTTACACCTTCCACTTCCACAAAAAAATATATCTATATCCAATACCAAGTTCTGAATTCCCTTCAAGTTTTACAGAGTTCTGCAATATTTTCATCTTTCAAAAGCCAGCTTTTAATTTCGTTTTCTGTGTCACTTTTCGTAAACATCTTGTCCTAAAACAAATATGACACTAACTGTACAACCAAATTAGATTACTTAACATGTTACGTGGAGAGAACCACTTTTATTAAGCTCAGATAAGGAAAATTACGTACTTGTTAGATAATGTATTATTATTATCATTTGTATCAGTCAATGGGACTAATTACACAGGTTTTTGTCTACCTGATTTTAGATATGTGTAATTTTTTAATAGTAGAGAAAAAACAACAAAAAAATGTATACTATATGTATATAAGACTTAATTACTGATTTAAGATTAATCTATAAAGATGGTCACTTGACTTATCGAGATTTGAAAGATTCAAACTTGCAAAGCCATTCCTGTTATACATGCCTGTCAGATTTTGGTCATTTGGAGTACCGAACGAACCTACAGTAAAACATGCACAAAAATCCAGTTACAGTAAGATTCAGGTAAGTACTAGAGGTTCATAAGTCCAAGTAAAAAGGAGAATTATCTTCTCATTAATACAAATTGTACATTAATGACTAGATACTTATTTACGAAAATTACTCCAACATTTGCAACTAAAAATAGCAGTGCTAAATGTTTAATATTGATTTTCTGTCTTGTATACCTATACATACATTTCTCGATGGAAAATTATGTCACAGTCCCTACATAATATTATGCAATCTTATGAAAACAGACTTGTAGTTGGGACCAAAAAAACCCGAATATTTATAAAAAGCGACGTGCCTGGAAGAATTGTCTACTATTATTAGTTGCCTTATACAACGTGTGCGGGCACGGTAAGTCCCACAATTAATTTATTTGCTTAAAAATTTAATGTTTGCGTCATTATTCGGCTGCAGTAACCGTCGTATATTTGTATTGTTTATTTTTTAACAAGACCTCTCTGAATTTGGACGGAACCTAATTAATGGAGCTTAAAGTTCTTATGTTTTCTTTTTTTTTTATCATTAAAAAAGGTTTCATACGTAAAAACTGCTGTCATAATCACTAAATTCGTACATATTTTCACGGTCACTGGTTTTTCGTTGTTCATGTGACTATCTTATTCAGATTTCAAAAGTGGTATAAGACAAACTAAAAACTGTGACCAGATTTTATTTCCCAGGTCATATTACCACATGCCATTTTAACTTGTACACAAGAAAGGAAAAATGGACTTAACAATGCTTCAAAAAATCTTAAATGTGGTACAGTAAATCCCGAAGTGATTGTGGACCCTTGGTAATTTTTTAAATTTAATTCACGTGAGTAATAAACATAATATGTACTCGTAGATTTTTGATTAATTCATTTATTTTTTTTTTAAATTACTAAGCAAAAATCTGGCGAAAGTTAAATTTGCGTCTACGAATACATATCTAAACCACTGTACATTTTAAGTGTTAATGGTATTTTTGTTCCCACTGATGTAGCTAGGAAGAACCCTGTTTTATAAATTCACAAATAAATCGCTGTTAAACAAAAAATATGTATGTTATTACCTTACGTACGACATCATTACTACATGTTGCAAAAAATTGCGCAACATTATAACATTTAATACATATTAGCATATAATAAATAAGTAGATAACTTTATTTGTGTTTATCTTACCTACTTTATATTAATATTGTAACCATGTTATTCTTTATCTTACTTTTTGTAACTTTTGGAAAATTTATAATAGTTAAAATTCATTTAACTCACGAATGTTCGTATGTACATCTTTAGTTTCGGATGCTGTTGAGTTACAGTATTCAAAGCTACTTTATCTGTTTGGACAAAATGAGATATTTCTTCTTCGTCTACTAAATCTTCGTTTTTTTTACTTTAATTTTTATTTTTAAATTATTGCAATATTTATACTCATTCGGTAAAAATTAATTTACCGCCGTAAGAAATTTTCTATAGATTTTGTGTGATAAACAGTGCTTGAAAGTTTCGCAATTCGTACACCAATCACCTTGGATTATTATCTTCTTATCTGATGAGTGATGACAACGTTTTATCATTAAGCTCACTTAGACCCAATTTCAAACAAGAGATTTTAGGGAATAAGTTTTTCGATTGTTTTAGATAAATATCACAATGTGACATAATAAAACACGTTCAAGAAAAAAATTTGGCGTACAATCGTAACACGTTTCCGCGATCTAATTGTGCTGACTTATAAAAAAAAGTTTCACTTGCATAAAAACATAAAAAGTAATACTTAGTCGGACAAATTTTGATACACAAATTTATATTTAAAAATTTGCATCCTCGTTTAAGAAGTCCTCAAAGAAAGAAATAATGATCAATTGCAGCTGCATCTAGGAAACGTAGCTTTTACATTTCTTATGAAGTGGGGTATTTTTGCAACACTGTGAATTGAATAAAAAGGGTGTTTTCAGTTTCAAATCTGTAACATGTGATAGGTATATGATATACAAAATTCTATAAAGTGTAATATAAGTAATTTATTTCTAATTTACATGTAACATCTCCTAACAATGAGAGCGAAGAGGCCAAATAGATAATATCAGTGCCTACATTCAATTTGTGATACACTGGGTTCATCATTTTTGTGTCGTCGATTAACAGACGATAATTTCAGCTGGCATTAAATCTTTCTTTCTTTGAAACAAGTGGTCTAACGTCATTTAGACAGAACTGAGAAGAAGAAGATAAGAAGAAGATATCATTTATGGGGGATAAACAGATACATTTTTATTAGCAATTTATCCTGGTTAGCAACTTTAAAACGTTTAAAAGATTTCAGAACATTCGGTTTTGAAATTCAGAATTAAACGTTAAACAATGTTGTTATACAATTTTGATCTTTTTTCTGAAAATCTTTCTAAGATAAAAAAATTAGTCGAAGGTTATTTCAACGCCCCTAAATACAGTCGAACAAATACAGCTTCGAAAAATTACAAAATTTAAAATGTTATATAATTTTGAATTTTTTTCCAAAAATCTGGATGCCTACGGTAAGTGGAGGAATATGTTATTTTTTAAAATTTAAATATCATTCTACTGTAAAAATGGCGATGACGTCATTGTTGGTGGGGTGATCATACAAATTTTGGTCAGCGTTTTACCATTTCCACGAAGATACATGAGTATAAATTTTCCGGGAATTTCGGAGTTTAAGTCTAACAAAATAGGCAACAGACTACAGACGGCACACAGCACACAGCCTGTGGGTTGAGTTACCTATCAGGCGCGTCCCCAGTGTTGCGGATAGGGGGAGACCGGCATTGTCTGGGGAAGGGGGGTCTGGGGAGGGCGGATATGCCCCCGGGAACTAAACACTCTTGGGGGTGGTGGAAGTCCGACCTGGATTTTTCCCTTCTCCAGATATGTAGGTTAGGGCTGAGGCTCGTCTTGCCTGGACATGCCTTGGTGGTTGTCGGCTTAGACGGCCGCGAAGGCGGTTCAGTAGAGGAGGGCTGGAAATAAACGTGCCCCCCCGGGATTAAACCCCTGGTGTGGGGTCGTCAAAACAGCCCCGCGGACAAGCTCCCGCGTGTTTGTGCCGTGCGTGGAGACCCGTAAGGTGGGATGAAGGAATCCTGGAGGTTGAGCCCCCCTTGGTGCAGTGTGTCACCAAGGCTGGGCAACACGCCTCTTTGGCCTGGATTTCCACCAAAACGGGAGGTCGAGACTAACCCATCTCAGATCAATCGGCTGTGTCGTCGGGTCAGACCGCCGACAGGGTGAGTCCTTGGGGGAAGTGTAGTCTGAGCACGAGTAGCCTCACTAGTTGAGGCTGCGTACTGCAGGATGAGCTTCCCTGGGGGCTATATCCTTCTGCTAGCCCTGACGTCGAAGTTCGGCGTCCCCTTGTTGGACTCCGTGGTGGGTGGGGACGCAGGAGGACGAAATCAAAATCCAGATTATGGAAATCGAAAACAATAAAAAAACCACTGAGGAAGTGCCTTCGGGTGCACCTCAAACAGGAAACCCAGCCAATGTGGGGTCGCAGCCTCCTAGGAGGAAGCGAATCTGCGGGGCTGAGGTAAAAAGGCGGAGGAAGGCTCGTTTGCAGGCGGAGGCGGCGAATACCGACCCGCCGAAACCGGGTCCATCCTCCTCCGGGATAAACCTCAAGGGTAAAGGGCAGGCTACGATAGCCAACCCTAAACAACCCGCGGGGAAAAAGACCTCAGGGTCAAAGAAGAGAGTGAGGTCTTCAACCTCCACACCTCCGGCAGCTGAGAAGCAAAAGAGGATGAGGAGGCAGGAGACTACCTCTAGAGAACAGAGCTACAGGGAGGCGGCTGCAAGTCATCTCCGTGTAGCTGTGATTGATGTGCAGCATCCACTTGGTAAGCTGACTGCTGGCCAGGTGGATATAGTACAAAAGGGCCTGATGGGAGCGCTGGACAGGCAACTGGACCAGTGCTTGGCATCGGGTAGACAAGCAGCCACTTTCAGGGGCATGAAGTACACAGGGGAAGTCCTAAGGATAACCTGTGAAGACGAGTTGTCCCTGAAATGGCTACAACAAACAGTGCGCTCCCTAACACCCTTGTGGGAGGGCGCACAACTTAACGTGGTCCCCTTGGCTGAGCTACCAAGGCTGGTGAGGGCGACCCTGTGGATACCGGGACCACCGGTGGATGCAGGAGTCGTACTTCGCCGCCTGGAGGGTCAGAACCAATGGGCCCACGTCAAAAAATGGCTTCTTTTCCATCGCGAGGCCAAACCCGAGGCTGCCTCTCCAGGCAACCTCTTTGTGTTTGGTCTTGGGATGGAAGAGGCCAAGATAATCAGGGAGAGAGAGGGCAGAATTAATTATATGCTGTCCTCTTTCAACCTGAAACTCAAGGAGAACGAGGCGTCGGCTCAGGAAGGGCGGACCCCTATGGAAGAGGTAGAAACCCCAGGGGATGAAGCCTCTACCAGTGGGGGCGGGCCCGCCTGAGAATGTGCCTCGTGTCTCCTAGGACAATTATGGGATTTTTGGTTGCAGAGATGGCGCTGCAGCAGATAAATTTCATTCAGATTAACCTGCAGCATTGTCGCATGGCGACGACTGTTTTGTGTCGTCGTCTAGACAAGATGCAGAACACTATAGCAATAATCCAAGAACCATGGATTGTAAAATCCAGGATCGCAGGGTTGAGCAATTTAAATGGCACTGTTGTTTCAGGTACCACAATAGAATCTCCAAGGACATGCGTCTACATTCCGAGGAAAATCAAAGCCGTCCTCCTACCTCAGGTCAGCTCCAGGGATGTGACTGCGGTAAATGTTAAGTGTAACATAGGAAGAGGCGAAGAGCAACTGGTAATAGCATCTGTGTACTTACCACAGGGAGCACAGGAACCATGTCCAACATGGGAAATGGCGAACTTGGTGGAACACTGTGATACCGGAAATATAAACCTCATCATCGGTGCCGATGCGAATGCCCACTGTCTGTTGTGGGGGAGCAAAGACACTAATGATAGAGGAAGAACACTAGCTGAATATCTTTTATCAACAAATCTAGAGATTCTCAACCGAGGCTGCGAACCAACTTTCGTAACATCACGTAGTCAGTCAGTAATAGATATTACACTGGCTACATGGGATATCTCACAATATATAATGGGATGGCACGTCTCTAAAGAGGCGTCAGTGTCAGACCATAGATGGATCATGTATACATCAAAATGTATAGACATGGAGATAAAGACGTACAGGAACCCTAGGCTGACGAACTGGGCTTTATACAACGAAGAACTGGACGACAGACTGGGGACCTCCGTGCAGTCTATACCAACGGAATACATTTCGACAGAAGACATAGAGAAAACCTTGACCATTATCAACGACTCTCTAATGTCAGCGTATGAGAAAAGTTGCCCCCTAAAGAAGGAAGGTCTGGGCAAAGGTACACCATGGTGGAACCGAAGGCTCAGCCTACTTCAATCGGGGCTAAGAAAACTTTTCAATAGAGCAAAAAACACTAAGAAAACTGAAGACTGGGAAGCCTATAAAGAGCACCGGAAAGAGTTTAAAAAAGAATTAAGAAAGAGGAAACGGGAAACGTGGAGATCCTTCTGCAGCGACATAACGTCGACTGCTTCGGCCGCAAGGCTGAAGAGAGTTCTCTCGAAGGACCACACACATCAACCAGGTTTCCTAAAGAAAGAAGATGGCACCTTTACAGCCACCTTAGAAGAGTCCGCAGAACTTTTGCTGCAGACCATGTTTCCAGGCAGCACACGGACTACCTCCCATTCCAAAAGGGATGTAGTCGGTACTCAACCTTCCCCGAAGGACTGGGCGCTGGCTGCAAAGGTAGTCACGGAGGCAAGACTGGAGTGGGCAGTGGACAGCTTTTCCCCATACAAATCTCCAGGAGTTGACGGTATTTATCCCGCCCTCCTGCAGAGGGGAATGAGCAGACTACGCCCTATTTTGTTGCCAATGCTTCGGGCGTGTCTGGCTTTCAGCTACATACCGAATGCATGGCGAAAAGTAAAGGTTATCTTTATACCTAAGCCAGGACGACAAGATTACACCTTGGCTAAATCCTACAGACCAATTAGCTTAACATCATTCTTGCTGAAAACGCTAGAAAGACTAAGCGAAAAAGAGATTCGGGAGACTGCTTTGAGCAAGCAACCTCTACATCCGAACCAACATGCCTACATCCAAGGAAGATCCACCGATACGGCCCTACACACAGTTGTAAACCGTATAGAGTGGGCGATGGAGAACAAACTCTTCACCTTAGGAATGTTTTTGGATATTGAAGGAGCGTTTGATAAAACGACCTTCAAAAGCATAGAACTAGCCCTACGAAAGCACGACGTGGACCCCACCCTAAGTAGGTGGGTGGCCAGTATGCTGAGGAACAGGGAAGTAATGATTAATGTAGGTGGCACTGAGATCGAGGCTGTTGTAGACAGGGGATGTCCTCAGGGAGGAGTTCTCTCTCCTGTACTGTGGGATACTGTCGTTGACAGCCTGATACGACGCCTCAATGATCTTGGCTACCACACAATTGGATACGCGGACGATCTAGTCATTCTGCTAACAGGAAAAAACGCAGATACATTATGTGAGATAATGCAAGCTGCAGTAAAAATAGTCGAGGAATGGTGCAACAGACATACCCTCTCCGTTAATGGAGAAAAGACGAAACTAATCCTGTTCACCAGGAAAAGGAAAATTGGCACACTACAGATGCCAAAAATATTTAACACAACGCTTCAACTTTCGGACGAAGTCAAATACCTGGGAGTTGTATTGGACTGGCGACTGAATTGGAAGAAGCATGTAGATGATAAAGTAGAAAAGGCACGCTCGGCTCTCTGGCAATGTCGTAGGGTGGTGGGAAGGTCGTGGGGTTTAAATCCCAAGATCGCCCTTTGGATCTACACGGCAATAGTCAGACCGATGCTGTGCTATGGAGCTTTAGTTTGGTGGCCCAGAGCCAGACAAAAAACAACAGCCCTGCAACTTGAACACGTTCAGAGAATGGCGTGTCTCAGTGTTACAGGAGCAATGAGGACCACTCCCACAGCGGCTCTGGAGACTCTTCTTTGCTTAGCACCTCTCAACCTTTACATAGAGGAAGCGGCAATGACGACGTCTCTAAGACTTCACTCTCTGGGAGTATGGAACAAGCAAGGCCGCACAACGAAGCACACTCGGATCTTAACGGAGGCGTTCAACAGAATACCCTTGTTGAGGATGGGTTGTGACCGAATGGGCACAAAATTAATATATGAGAAGACATATAGAATATCAATGAGTGATAATTCAGAAGGACGAGCCGACATAGATATCTATGTCGATGGTGCCAAAACAGATAGTGGTTCAGGAGCCGGCATCTACTCCGAACAACTGAACGCACAAATCAGTGTACCTCTCGGCACCCACACGTCTGTCTTACAAACAGAATTGATGGGAATAATGCTGGGAGCTAGAATCATTGCTGAACGTGAAATCGGCAACAAATCAATACGCATACTTACTGACAGCAAGTCTGCACTACTAGCCCTGGACAGCTGTATGGTTCGATCCGGGCTGGTTTGGGAGTGCAGACAAACGCTAAAGTATGTAACGCAGAGGAATAGAGTGGTACTTTGTTGGATCAAAGGACACAGTGGCAACGAAGGAAACGAGAGGGCAGATGAGATGGCGAAGCGAGCCGCGCGTATGCCCTTCTGGGGACCCGAACCGGCAATCACGCCTTCGGTCGCCCTCTCGAACGAACTCGTAAAGCAATATACCCACAGACGCCATGAGCAGATATGGGCGACGTTGAGCAGCTGTCGGCATAGTAGAGCTTGTATGGCGACACCAGACCGTAAGTTGACAAAATTTTATCTCTCACTTTCAAGGGACAAACTGCGTAAACTGGTAGGATTCCTTACGGGACATTACCAGTTTAACAAACATCTACATACGATAGGGGTAGCAACAGACCCAATCTGTCGTGGATGCAATGAAGAAGAGGAAACAGCTGAGCACATTCTTCGTGAGTGTCCAGCCCTAGCCTCCTACAGGGAATCCATACTAGGGGACATCTGGCCTAGTATGGCAAATATCAGGGAGTTTCCACCCTCTGCATTACTCAAGTACATTCAAGCAGTTGGATGGCTTGACGAGTAGAGGAGCGGGAAAACACCCTGATATGGACTTGGGGAAGGTACAATGGGCCCAAAGGCGAGGCCTAAGTGCCGGCTGGCTACGGTCAGCCCCCATAAATTAAGAATCCAGAATCCAGAAGATGCCTACGGTAAGTGGAGGAATATGTTATTTTTTAAAATTTAAATATCATTCTACTGTAAAAATGGCGATGACGTCATTGTTGGTGGGGTGATCATACAAATTTTGGTCAGCGTTTTACCATTTCCACGAAGATACATGAGTATAAATTTTCCGGGAATTTCGGAGTTTAAGTCTAACAAAATAGGCAACAGACTACAGACGATAATGAATGATAATATCCTTTCATAGTCTAGGAGAAATGAAACGTGGAGCAAACATGAAATTAGCTGTTGAAACTTGTTGACCAATAAATCTTAGGTTTAATTTAATCTTTAGATAAAACTTCTAACGAGCTAAAGCATTATCATAAGTGTTAATGGCAATTAAAACCTTAATCTTTAAATAACATGTTAACCGACCACTATTTTGCTCCACCCAGTATGTTATCCTTTTCCGAAAAATCAGTAGGTACTCACAGGATACTTGTTAACGCTCCTATAGAAAAGTTTCATATTCGTACCGTAATAAGCTCTTATTGCTACTTGTTTTCCAATATACTGTTAAACATTTAAGATAAGGTTTAGCTAATCAACTTTTATAACTTATCTAACAAACTAATACTTGTTTTGTAATACTTCAGATGCTATGGAAGTTCTCTCTAAATAACTAGACCAGTTTTTGTCAATTGACTCAGTTATGTTTTACTTTGTTTAATTAATCATTAAAACACCATATTTTGTTAGACAATCTCCAATCTTCGAAAAATTATTTTAAGTTTAAATGTCCTAAATATGTATGACTAAGTAATTTGTAAAGATTTTATACTTATTAATATTATTATTAGTGTTACTAAATCTACAAATTAATTATTCACACTTTCTTCGGACATGCATGTAGACAAAAAGCTTAACTACAAGTAGTAGAGGGTGGAAACTCCCTGATTTTAGTATGGCAAAAATCAGGGAGTTTCCACCTTCTGCATTACTCAAGTACATTCAAGCAGTTGGGTGGTTTGACGAGTAGAAGAGCGGGAAAACACCCTGATATGGACTTGGGGAAGGTACATACAATGGGCCAAAGGCGAGGCCTAAGTGCCGGCTGGCTACTATCAGTCCCCATAAATTAAGAATCCAGAACTACAAGTAGGTACATATGATAGTGAATGCTGAAAATCTTTTACTATAACTTATCACTTTTTTATCAATAAATATAAAGTCAGTACAATCATAATATGACACTATGTTGTGCAATCTGTATGCACAGTATGGTGCAAGAAGTTGTTAATTTGAGATTTGTTCAATAATATTCGATTAAAAAATATTCTATATCTTCGTGTATATTGTATTTTTTTTGGAGATTTTTTATTATTGAATTTGTTTCATATTTTTAAACACAATGTGGTGCCATTCAAAATGTATATATTTTATCTAAAATTGATTACTATCTAAACACATTTTTTTTACTTATAACACGCTTATTATTAGATAAGAAGCATAAGTGATTTTTTTATCTTATTAAGTAGTGCTCATATAGAAACGTAGACGTACTAACTCTTTTAATTTCTTTTTAGGTGTGTTTTTATATTCATCGGTTCCAAATTATTGAGCTTAATTCCTACATTACATTAGAGATGGATTTTAAAACTAATATGAAGTCGTGGATGGAAAAATTACTAAAAAATGAGAATATTGATAATTTAGATGTGGCTATATTAGGAAATTCAGAAAAAGGCGATGGTTATATGGGAGATATCGTGTTTGCTGAAGTAAAGGGTACCACGACAGAAGGAATCTGTAAGAAATATAATATTGCTCTAAAATGCTCCAAAAGTAGTCCGTCTCTCAGAGAAAAATCGTCAGTGAAAGAAGCTTTTCTCAACGAAATTTACTTCTACGATGTTATTTTCCCCAGTTTCAAGAAATTTCAGCAAGACAGGAAAATTGATAAACTATTTGAAAATGTACCGATATGCTATGGTACTTTGAGCAATGGTAATATGGAAGTTCTGGCCTTAGAAAACCTAAAAAGTAAAGGTTACATTTTATGGAATAAAGCGAAACCTTTAACTAGAAAACATATTGATATGATCGTCGCAGAATATGGAAAATTTCACGCAATTTCAATAGCCATGAAAGATCAAGAGCCCAGAGCTTTCCAAAAATTGATAGATGGTATAGAAAACATGTTTAAAAAATTCCAGGAAACTTGTGATATAGTTAATGTTTATGAACGAATTTTTGATGAAATTTATAACTTGTTGAAAAATGAATTGGACGAAGATATATTGGACAAATGGCAAGGTTTCAAACTACAACTGCGAACTTTTTTGTTTCAAATTAGTGAGCACGTGGAAGGAGAAAATGTGATTCTTCATGGTGATTGTTGGAATAACAATTTTATGCATTACCACAAGGTAAGTGTTTGTTGTTAAACCACCATGCAACTATTTAATTTACATTATTTTCTTATTTAAACAGAACGATCAACCGTCTACATTTGCCATTTTAGACTGGCAATTGATAAGATATTCATCCCCTGTTTTCGATTTGTCGTACCTTCTGTTTGCTTGTTTATCAGAAGAGGACATATATGATATGGAACAAATTAAAAAACATTACCATGAGTCCTTGTTGGAGCACTTGGAAAAATTGGGTTCATGTACTTCCTTGTATCCAGTACACCAATTTTTAGAAGAATGGAGAAAACATGGCAAATTTGGCCTTTTAATAGTAACACTCGTACACAAGATTTGTTTGGCAGAAACCAACGAAATTCCTGATGTGGGTGAAGCAGCTGACAAAGGAGACGATATTGCTACAGGGTTTGGACAACCTATTAAGAATACCACGGATTACAAAAAAAGAATGAAGTATATCATTAAATATGCCGCAGAAAATAATTTAATTTAAAGAAGTTGCTTTTGTGTTTTAATAAAATTTAAAACAGATAGAAAATAAATAATTTGCTTATTTCGTAACACTAAAGAAAAAAATATTAGAATAACAAAATTTTTCTCAGTGTGACATGCAAATTTTTATCCTGAACCGTTCCTATTACAATGAAAAGTATATGTGAAAAAAAATAGCAGACGATTGTTAAATGCATTAGAAATTAAATACGGAGGTTTGGTGCGCATCCCACGTTGCGAGAATATCTTAATTCTAAAATTTGTGATACACAAATAATATGAAACTACAAGTACACACAAATTAAATCCCCGGGCCAGGATATTGTAAATTTGACTGATGAAAACATCTTTTTTCTCAAAATCAACCTTTAAGATTAAATTATTTTAAATCTCAAGTGACAAGTTATAAAGTGTGAATAATGTACTCACTTAATTTAAAAAAAAGAATGGTTAAGCCTGAATGAGTGAATTTCCTGACACGTGTGTTACGAAAACATTTCAATATTACTAGAAATACAAGTTTTATATATTTGATAGCACATTGAAATTTTAAATGTACCTACGTCCCTACCAGGGCATTCTACCTGCTCCTGAGACAATGTCAGTTAGAGACTACTTACACAGCTACTACCGTCTTTATCTTCACAGGGTGATAGTATTTTCGTAGATACACAAATAACGAAATAACATTCCAATAATATTCTATTTATTAAGTAGCGCAGCAGGATATTAACATGCGTATAACAAGTTGCATAACTACAGGGTCATTATAAAATATTGTAGTCGAAGAAGGCCATGATTTTGGTGACATTTTGTGCCGCCTTTTTCAGTTTTGTGGAAAGGATTACACTAATATTGGAATTTTTATTTTTAGCGCCACATTAGTTGACATTAGCGGCTGCACTGTTTCAACGCTTCATCAAATTCTGTCAGATGTCAATAATTTTTTCGTTTGTACTGGTACGTTTTCCCTCACTTTGTGCGTTAATTGACTTGTCTTGTTTTCATTTTTGCTGTCTTCCCCTTTGTTAGAACTTTAATAAGTGTCTCAAAAAACAGTTTTTATCAAAACTACAGATCATTGTGGAATAATCTCAGGTAATGAACAGAGAGGATAACTATGGTCAGTGTTACAAATGATTTTTTTAGTCCTTTGGCGCAATCATCATGCCTATTACCGTAATGGGGTGTTAAATGAGGATGGGGATGGAGTGTACTCTGTGGAGGCGTCTAAAAACGAGTATCTAGTGAAATGTTCTGTTGTCATTGATGAAGAATCTTTGAAGACGCTATATGGCGAATTATGGCCAGATTTAACGACACTGGTAGCATTTCTAAGTGAAAACCGACGGGGAGACCTCAAGTTAGTGAAGACGTTGTTGAAGATTTAAGGATGAGAATGGAACAAAGTCCGAATAAAGCTTTGTCAAAAATCTTTACTGTCCGGAGTACCATACAGCCCATGTCAGAAAATCGTAAAAGAGAAGTTACATATGCATCCATACAAGATTTCGTTGGTTCAGGAGCTGCAACCAGCTGATTTTCCTTGCCGCGTTGGGTAGTGTAGTTGGTTTCAAGCTGATATTGACGATAACGGGATTCTCGATTTGTTGTTCTTTTCTGATGAAGCCTGGTTTCATCTGTTAGGCTATTATGTCAACTGACAGAACTTCAGAATTTGGTGTATAGAAAATACTCACGCTTTTGAAGGAACACCATCACACGCAATGAAGGTTGGTGTGTGGTTAGCAGACGACGATTCATAGGCCTGATACTTTTTCAAGTAAATGAATGTGATCAATAAACAAAATTAGATGTAGAAAGTGTATGTAGGTACTGCAATAAAGTTTTTTATTTTCAGTAACTTTTATTTTTCTTTCGGTGTTAGTTGCATTCTCTTAATTTAAAACTTACTTCAACTTACTGTTTAGTAATAATTGTAATTTTACTATTAGGAAAGTTAAAAATCTTTATTAAACATTCTGTTGTTTCAAGAGATCTCATAATCAGCTACAGAACTCTTAACACTTTGCTCCTGAAATTTTATTGGTTTTTTCATCTTTTTTCTTATAGAAATTTTGAAAAATCTTGATATTAGGATGGCCATGTGGGCGTGTTTTGGGTAGAACCTCTTTGACATTCCTGTTATGCAGATCTGGCATGTTTCAGATATCTAGAAACTGCAAAGCTGAAGGTAATGTTTGGACATAGCAATTTTCACCTATTGTAGGGATGAAGATCAAGGATTTCAGTTGTGTTTTTTCAAGAGAAAAGCACCGGTCACAAACCATGTCTGCACCAATATTTTGACGATTCCTTACAATTTACAAACAGAACTTTCGCGGGATCACAACTTTGGCAAAATTATTTACTGCAAAAACTCATTAGGTACTCATAGTGTTCGTTAACTGTGATAAGACTTGCTCTGCCATTGTCCATTACGTGATTTTTCACAATTTTTACCTTCAGGGTACCTATAAAAATGTAATTTTTTAAATAATTACCGTGTTCATTGGTTTCGACAAACTTAACCTCACTTTTTGGATTTCATTATTTGAAAAATTATTGCTTCTTTGCAAAACAGACCAGATGATTTATTCTGTTCAACTCCAATCGACTTTCCAAGGTGTAATTCATGACAAAGCCCTTAAACGTTTTTCTGACAATTTACAATTTTTGAAACTGAAATGTATTGCAGTGGCGTTCACAAATGCCCGATAACACTGCAACCAACACCTCCTTAATGCTCTGGCCTGGCGTCTTTTCGTGTCTATTTAAAATGAAATTAAACCGCGAACCGGGCATTTCAATTTTTGACACATCTGACAGATTTGTTTGGACGTTCGTGACATTTCAAAACAGTTCAAATCATTTTGGTGATTAGCGGCACGAGAAAAATTTCATTTGTTTTTCATAGGTGAGTTGACTACAATATTTTATAATGACCCTGTATAATATACACAGAAAAATAAGTACTATTGTTAACATTTATTTTTTCGTTATTCGTTGTGCATTTCTCATGGATGTTTCACCAAAATATTACATATCGTTTCAACTATTAACTGAACTTTTTTATATTCCGAGTATCATATTTTTATTTCAGATTATTTCTTTAACATCTGTGAGTCAGTGTGTGAGTATAATAAAAAAATAAAGATCGCTGTGCATTTGCAATATAACATTAATGTGTTACTCATAATCGTATAGTGACACTCAGTAATCAATCAATTTATAATCAGTTTTATTCGAATTTTATTAAAGATTGATGTGGCTTTTCTTAGAAAATTAAATAAAATTGTTTACCACATGATATACAGTTTATTAGTCTCAAAAGATTCCAGTCGCTGCGTTTTTTTTTAGTTTAAAATTATTGCACACTAATCATTTTAATTTATGAATAATTATAACAATTTTATTAATACCGATTTTGCTTTCTCAGAATATCAAATTAAATTAATTACCACATAGATTTTATGATTTATTGATATCAAAAATAATACAATCATTGCTCTTTCATTGTAATTAAATGACGCCTACTGTTTCAGATAATTTTAAACTTTTTACATAATGCAGTAAATTATCTTTTACTCTTTTATAAAACACTTCCTTGTTTGAAATCTCAATATTAAAATTGTCTAGAAACTCTTTCCCACCTTCCGCCGCTTCAACAAAATCTGGAGCATCATTGGGGTCACATAACGTAAATTTTAAAGCAAAACCTTGCAATAGGATCCCATATTGAGAAAATCGCTTCCAGTGTTCCACTAACTTGGCATAAGAAAAAAGCTCTTCTGGTACTAAATGTAAAGACTCTAGACATTTACTAAAACTATCATAGTAAATTTTTAACATTTCAGATATATCTTTGTGTTCTCCTGTATTGCAACAAGCATACAAAAAATGCGATAAATCCATTACAGGCGAGGAGAGACCTGCACATTGCCAGTCCAAGACTTGAACACCAACTGGTTTTAAATTGTCGTTCTAAAAAAATTTTTTTAGCAAACTTTGATACATACTTCAGGTACACTTACGTCATATTTAAACATGAAGTTGCCATTCCAGCAGTCTCCATGCGAAATAATTCTGTAATCTGGATCCTCATCAAACAAACCCTTAAAAATGTAGTTGGCATCGTTTATGGAAAAGTTTACAGCGTTGAGAATTTCTTCGTTATCTGACGAAATGCAGCCATCTCTTGCTTTTTCAAAAATATCTAACAGAAGATCAATCATTTTGGTTGTTTCGAACCAGTAACATAGCATATTGACGTTATTTTTTGTAAGTTCTGCAAAAAGCTCCGGTTTTTCTTTCCTCAAAGCAAACGAAAATGCATGCCATTTCCCATACGCTTGCAAGACCAACTCAACATGTTCAAAAGTCATCGCCTTTTTTTTGTCACATGTACTGTAATTTTGGCTTTTTAAATCTTCCAAGACTAGTATTTCGCTATTGTCGACCACTTTAGTAGCGTAACATAGCGGTATGTAGTCCAGTAAACCTGAGGCACCTTTTTCTTCTTGTAATTTTTTAAATGATGGTAGGACGCGGTCGTAGATAAAAATTTCTTTCTCAAAAGATTCACGGACTGGAGTCTGTTCTCGTAGTGTTATACTGTCTTTAGATGCTTTAATTACCAAATCAATTGTTTCATTTTTTCCGTTTTTCGTTTTACCTGCTGCGGTGATAAAAAAAATATCGCCCAGGTAACCGTCAGCCTTATCAGTTGTTCCATTGGTGATAACAGAAAAGTCGTGTATGTCTTCATCTTTAAGGGCTAACTGTACCCACTCTTTGATTTTTTGGTCAACCATTTTAAGGTAAATCTCACACTATTTGGGTCAACAGTTGTTTGTGGACTGAACTCTACCATGTGCGATTTTTTTCGCTAATCAGTGAGCAAATATTATCTGAGTTTGCGGTTGAGACAGATTATTATCAGATTAAAACGTACAATAAATCTTGTACACGATAAAACAAAAGATACTCACTGTAGGCAATAACCAAGTAAACAAAACTTGCACAATATGTCAACATTTATTTGTTGTATCCGCTGCCGCTGATTAATGATTTTATTTTATGGCTTCGCTTTATTTCTATCCAAACAACCTTGGAATGAATTCGAAGTGGGAGATATTAAAACACCTAACACCGTGGAAAAAAAAATTAGAATGAGAGTGAATACGAATGACAAATCCCTATAATACATGCAGAGACGTACATGTACGTCATTAATGACGTTCCCCAATGCCAAACCATGTGCCAAACTATGTCGGACGCTACGTCATTAATGTTCTGTCCTCATAACCACCTCATAACCACGTAGGAATGAATGGAATGAGTTAGAGTTAAATTATATTCATTCGTGCATGATCATTTCATGAGCTTTTTTATTGTTACCTGCCGGACATTTACGTTTGTACTGGACTGTACTGTACATTGTGTTATAAATACAGATAATGCGCCATAAAAATGTTATTCAAACCTAACCCCGTTGGTGGAGAATTTGACAGCTAAATAAGGTTATGTTGTGATATTTTTCAATCATTTGTTTTCGTTTTTTGATTTTTCTTTACTTGTAATTGTAACAGTTATTTTCAGAACTACAATTTGGTTGGAAGTAAACATGCATGAATTCTGAAGCCATTAATGCGAAAAAATGAATTATACTGTATCTGCCTTAGCTATTAGTGCAAGAGCTGTCGATGTTGTAATAATGTAGTTCATTCAACAAGAAAAAAGCAGAGAGGGTCTCTAAAGAAAAAAGTGTACTTGCTTCCTATCTGAGAGTGTTCGTATCAAACGGTGAAAAAAAACACCTTTATTAGTTGTGAAGGAGTTATGTCAGTTATTTCCAACTGATACTCGATGTGGAACCAAATATTGTTCATGCACATTATATAAAACTACGTGAAAAATTATAGTGGAATGAAACTTGTGTACAGCTGGATGCAATCATATGGATATATTTGAAAATGGTTAGGTAACTAGATCGGAGCAAAATATGTTACAATAAAATTTTATTATCACAATATTTTTATAAACAAATCTCGAAAAAATTCTGATGCCTATGAGAAGAACCTAGAGTATTGGTACATTTTACAAGGACCACCTTGAAGAAAACAATTTTTATCACATCACGACGGCATTGTGCAAACATTTAAAGATATTACTAAAATAATACAAGCAGGTAATGATAAGAGTGAGATTTTTTTTCCATGTTTTCATAAATATATTGAATTGATTTTAAATATATGTAGTAAAGTTCGCTGTCTTAGACAAATTATAAAAGTTGATTTTGTACAATTATAATGCCTATGTAGGATAAAAGTAATAATAATAAAAAAGTTTATTTTTTTATTGATTTAATCATATATCTAATAGTACTATATTGCTAACAGGCCTCAAAAGAGTCCGAAAACATAACGGCAGAGCAATATATAGGACCTCTCTGTCTCTCTGTGGTACTAAACAGTACTGGGCATACACTCGTACTTGCTTGATTTGTACTCAATAGCGTGATTGGAGGCGTTTTGACATTTCGTACTTTCACTTTTATTTTGTGTACATGCGCACAGACCCTCGGTACTCTTATAGACAGAAAACAACATCTTCTGTCTCTCTCTGTCCGTGAACACCGTTTCTATGTTACTTCTGAAGAGTTAGCAATATAGTAGTATTAGATATATGGATTTAATCAATAGAATTAACCAATTCATTCACTGTTTTGTTTTTTAAAGATGCTATATGAAAAATTCTAAAAGTTGAAGATACAGCTGGTTTCAAAAAAAAAACGGGAAAAATGACAGTGACATGAACGTCATATTCCCATTGCTTTTCATTGATCTATGAGAACCTAATTTGCTCATTCTTTCCCGTTTTTTTTTTTATTTAAAAAAATATTTATTTTATAAATATTGTTAACTGTCAAGACTCCAAAAGATGAAATTGATAAATAAATCATTTTTAATCGTTCTGTATTCATCTAATCAATGTTAGTAGAAGTAACTATCTTCATACATTTTTAGAAAAGTTCGTCTACTCTAGATTCTAAAACAAATTGTAAAGTTTACGCAAACAAATTTTATTTTTTACTATAAACCGTGTACATATTGTTAAAAATGTGTAGATAACACGAAAGACCATCCGAGATTATAAACTTCAAGAAATTTAGCAAAATTTTAAGATGTCATCAACTTCTTAGAGGGCATGATACAAATACTTATTGTTTTGGAAATTTAATTTTACCGTAAAAATTTTTATTGACAATAATGTGACGGACAGTAGGACACTGGTAAGAAATATTTATGCCCAGTTCATCCGAATTTGTCGGAGAACATTTAGCAGGTAGTTGTAGGCAGAGGGTCGGACTCCCGCTGTTTTAGAAATTTAAGATTAAGTAAAAAACCGTGGCACCCGTTTTCCTGAATTTTAACTACTTCAGTTCATTTCATTTATTCTTACGACCTGTAACAGTGCGCTTTTTTGTTCTACAGGGTATTTTTGAAATAGTTGGAAACTTTTTTTAAGGTAATTGGTCATGATGTAGAGAATTTATGCATCAAATATTGATCTAATAAAAATCCTTTAGTTTTCGAGATAAAATTGATTGAAAATCTGTTAAAATTTGCGTGTGCGCTACTGATCCCAAAAATGTTAAAGGTAAATTTGATCACTATAGTAATTTAAAGTAGGTAAAATTGTTGCTTGTTAACATGACAATACATTCATTAGCCCATCATTTTTTGACGTTTTTGCAATTTTTTGGAAGAACAAAATGAATTTTTCTAATTCTGAAATGACTGACATGGTTCTGATGTATGGACAAGCCTTAGGAAACTCCTTGGAAGCTCGACGTTTATACCAAGAAGCATTTCCCGAACGAAGATTGCCAAATCATAAAACATTTGCTAACGTTGTTCAGCGTCTACGAGAAAATGGGAAATTTCAACCTCGTTTTAGTGATCGTCAGTGGCGTAACAATCAAAGTGCGGGCCTGTGTTCTACAACACTGTGGGGCCCCTAATGAACACCGAAATAAAAATATTTAAAAATACGAGTATAATGAATAAAGTATGAGTAGACTGCAATTAGGGCTTACGTTTTATTAAAATCATTCTACCTGAAACATTGAACTAAAAAAAACAAAATATAATAATTACCTGAATACATATAATTAAAATATATACAATTATACATATTAAAAACTAGCCGACCCGGCAAACGTTGTTTTGGCATTTCTAGTGAATATTTTGGTAGTTAAATAAAAAATTAAATTAAAATAAATACATGTATAATATAATTAAATTAAATTATAAATTATATATAAAAATTTATGGTACGACAATGATTATATTCAATAGCCATCTTGCAACCCTATTGCGCATCTGTGGATGAAAGCAAAGATACTCATATCGTTATTAAAAAATGGTTGGTGGTTGGTGGTAGAAAGGTGAAAATTTTGATGGCAAATCTTAAAAAAATAAAAATAAAAAATGTTGTCTCAAAAATAAAAAAAAATGTTAGTGGGCCACCCTTATCACTTAGGGGTATAAAAAATAGTTTACTAGACCTACCGAATATACACAAAAAATTTCATAAAAATCGGTCAAGCCGTTTCGGAGGAGTTTGGTTACAAACACTGTGACACAAGAATTTTATATTAGATTATTTTAGAACAAATTTCATTACCATAAAAATGGTTATAGTGAGTCGACCTTAAAAGATAGACATATGCTGTCGCAGACTTTTTTTTAGAACTTTTAGAAGGGAACAATTCCATCATACGTGATTTTTATGTAATTTTAACCGTTTAAGCAGCGTAAGCAACAGAAGCTGTCAAAAGAGGAATAATTTTCCCGTTTTTCCGATATTTTTCATTGCTGCTTCACTCCTATTTATCGTAGCGTAATATTATATAGCCTATAATCTTCCTCGATAAATGGACTATCCAACACAAAAAGATTTTTTGAATTCGAACCAGTAGTTTCTGAGATTAGCGCATTCAACCAAACAAACTCTTCAGCTTTACTCGTACTTTTGTCGGATAAAGATTGGTACTTTACTATATGGGGTGTTAGATTTGCCACAATAGGATTGCGACACTGCGACAGGTTTATTAGAAACAGATGCTGCTGCATTTTTGAACACCGGTGCCGGTCGCTAAAACCCGAATTTATTGAGTCTATGATATTGAGATGCCGCCAAAAGTCCAGCCCTTTGCAGCAAAAAAATTGTAAATAGCAATGAACGATCGATCCTGGGATTACCGCACATTTTCGAATTTTTTATTTCGGGATGTAATTTGGGCAATAATATAAAAAAATGTAATAAAAAAAATGTTCGTGTGAACGGACCGGGCCCCTCGAAGCAGCGGGCCCGTGTTCCGGCGAACACATGGAACACCGGTAGTTACGCCACTGGTGATCGTGGTCGTGAAAGGACAGAACGGACACTTGATGCCGAAGAAGAAATTTTGAATGTCGTTGAAAACGATCCAGGTATAAGCATTAGACGATTGTCTTACCGAGTGGGAGTTTCACCTTTTGTGGTGTGGAAAACTCTACATGAACAAGGCCTACAGCCCTATCATGTACAACGAGTTCAGCATTTGAAACCAGAAGATCTGCCACGTAAAGTTCGCTTTTGTGAATGGCTAAACCAAAAAAATAGAGAGGACCCTCAATTCGTCAAGAAAATACTCTCAACTGATGAAGCAACATTTACACGAGATGGTGTTTTTAATGCACACAACACTCACTTGCTCTAGTTGCATACGTTACGTTTTGTTTCATTTTATGGTTGATTAAATTATGATTTTGAAGTTTTAATTGTCAGTTCATTAATTATTGTCATTGTTTATTTGTTGCTAGCAATAAATTAATAGCAACAGTAGTTACACCTCGGCAGTTTTCAGTTACTAGGTTTCACATTTTTTCGTGAAACCATTATTTATCAGTGGAGGCATGAATGTTTGGATTGGATTTTCCTTTCAAAATTTTACTAAAACAACAAACGTTCATTTGACTTCTTAGGTTCTCTACATTCACCAGATTTTTTGTTTCCATGTATTTCAAAAACACCCTGTATAATTCTGTGTTGTGGTGACCAAATTTGAATTAAAATTTTGGGCTGAAAAAAAAAACAGCGGCGCGAAATCGCATTTGAATAATTTGAGTTTAAAAAAAAAATTAATCAAGAAAATCGTTAAATATAGGCAACCATGTGCAGGTTTAGTTTTTTTTTGTAAATGGTAGTTCTGCTAGGGAATTTGTAGGTAGAGGGTTGAAAGTGAAGTTCACTTGTTTACTAGAGGGTGGTGACGCGTCACTGTTGTGCTAGTTTGGTGAGTAAAAGCACATGGTAAGGTAGCTAAAATAAGTTTAGTTGGTTTGAAAAAAAGGAAGCCTTTGTTTAACGAAAATTAATCGTAACGATGACGATGCCACAGTTTCCCCAACCACCGTAACTAATTATTGCTGTTTTTTCAAAGGGGAACTATGCGAATTTTCGACCGACGCTAACAAGTGGTGTAAATTTGTTTTATTGTTTGTAAATTCACAGTTCATGTTAGAATTTTAATCATCACTGGTTTTAACACAAATTAACAGTCATGAGATTGTACAAATAAAGCACTTACTGGGAGATTTCATGAGATTCAGTTAAGTTAGGACTCATCCTTTGTTTATCAAGTTATAAATAAGGTGTCTGGATGCTTATAGTTAAGTGTTACATTATAACACTTCTCTTAGTTCCTAATACAAAATTGCTATCAGTTCATTTACGACAGTTAAATCAACCCAACGTTGTCCCACTCCTGGGAAAAGACCGTGGAAAGCGCGGTAGAATTCATAATATCGTCAACTGAGAGACTGGGGGATTACATTTTTCCCCTTAGGCAGTTATCATCATTACGTCATCGAGACAAATTTCTCCGCACGTGGGAAGCTATATCACCGAGACGCAAATTTCTCGCGACGAGGGATGCATTTTTGTGTTTATTTATCAAGTGTTTTTGGGATAAGCGGGGGAAAGTACACGATATAAACTCTCAAAGCCAATTGTTTTAAGTAACCAGTCAGTTGGATCATACCATAATTTAACATCATGTAAATTCTTTGTTTGAATCGTCGATAAAGTGTGGCATCATTTACATCATGTAAATTCTTTGTTTTTTGGATCGTTGATAAAGTGTGGCATCATTTAACATCATGTATATTCTTTGTTCGAATCGTTGATAAAGTGTGACAAATATTAACCTGATGCAATTTTGTTAGATATGCAAATTTTCACCTCATGCAATTTTTCTCTATCTCAATTTTAGCCTCCGTAATTTTCTTTGCTTTATAATTTAAATTGAACGTAATGCTCTGGAGTTCCTAACCTCACGTGATATTTTTGTCTGCACAAGTTTTACTTCACACCAGATCTTTCTTTGTTTTTATAAATCTTTGCTAGTTTTTTGATCACGTAAATATTTTGTTGATTAATACTTCAATCATATAAATTGTCTAATGTCCAATCTTAATCTCAGATAAGAATTCTTTGATGTTTAAAACTTTCACGAGAGTGTATGGCGAATCTAAATGTTGTTTATTTCTCTTTTTGAAACTTTAACATTTGTTCGGTTGTAGTGTAATATCAGAGTTATAGAAAGTGAACATTTAAAATGAAATTGAGGTAAATAACACAAAAGCACGTGGCAGAAGCAGAGGGCGCGGTTCCTAGTCGAGCTGGCGGGATTTATCGCGCCATCTGCACAAAAGACGCGGATCTTGAATAGAAGTCAGGGGAGCGGTCGGGATGACGTGATGCTCGCGGCTTGGCCCAATGGCTAGGATTTCCAATCACGAGTTTGCTACCCTAACGGCCTGTTAACGCAGCACGTTTCTTAATTAGATCAGCCCCGTACCTACTGGGGGGCAAGATGGGGCTGAGCCCCCCCCTAGCAGTTGTGGTTGCCCCCCCTGGAAGACTTACACATTAAAAATTTCAATTTAGTAATAAAATTTCAATATAATGCCGATTGCTGAAGCATATTTACTAGCCCCACCCACCAGCCCTTTATTTTCTTACAGGGTATATTATTTGCCAATATCACCCTAACGTTAATAATGTTGACCGTATAAAAAAAGCAACTGTCATGTCACATTTTATTCCATAGCCTACTACTAAACATGCAAAAAAATAAATATTACGAATAAAGAGGTACGTGCTCGTAGAAGCTTTAATGAACTTTAGGAAATACAACGCAAAAATACAGAATACAAAAAAACGACAGCTCACTACTTTTTTTTACAATTATTCATGTGTTCTTGTTTGTTGTCATGGCAAACCTACAGGGTCGCCCTTTTCTAATATCTAACACTTCCCCTCGACCCGGGGTTGTGCTAGATCTAGCCGCTCCGTGAAGGAACCATGCTTTATACTTGCTAGACCCTTGGTGAAGATGTCACCAATCATATCTTCCGAAGGGACATGTTGTATAGTTAATGAGTCATTCTTCACCACTTCTCTGATGTAGTGATGTCTAAGGTGGATGTGCTTACTTCTCGCATGATAGACCGGATATTGAGCCAGTCTCAATGCGCCTTGGTTGTCACTGAATAGCACCATTTGTGACAACTGTGCGAACCCTAACTCCAGCAGGAACTTCTGGATGAAAGTGGCTTCCTTGGCTGATTCTGTTAATGCCATGTATTCAGCCTCTGTAGATGATAATGCCACAGTTTTTTGTTTCCTGGAGTCCCACGGAATGGGTCCCTCTGCTAACATGAAGACGTATCCAATATACGATCGTCTGTCAATAGCACAATTTGCCCAGTCGGCATTTGCGTAGCCTCTTACAGGATCGGGGCAGTTTGTATACACAAGACCATAGTTCAAAGTACCTCTCAGATATCGAAGCACTCGCTTCGCTGCTGTCCAATGGACCTTGCCATGACAGTTATTGAACTGTCCCAAGGAACTCACTGCGTGACTGATGTCAGGTCTAGTCGTGATGGCCAAATATGTCAAGCCACCTATCAATTCGCCATACGGGAAATTCTTCACTTCTTCAGCGGTTGTTGGTTTGAAGAGCTTTGTCTGCGAGTTGGGAGTTGATATCGGGTTGCAATTCTCCATGCCGAAACGTTTGAGGAGGTCTAAGATGTAGCCTCTTTGGTGCATAGTTATCTTTGACTTCTCAACTTCAAACTCGACTCCCAAACAATAGCCAACATTACCGAGTTTCTTCACTTCGAACTCCTTGCACAATTTTTCTCGAAATTGCTTGATTCTGTTAGAATCCCTTGACATTATCACTATGTCATCGACATAAATAACAACCATCGTTGCATCTTCCCCTCGTCCAACACAATATACGCACGGATCGGCGTTGGTTGGAATCGCACCAAGTTTTAGCAATACCTTGTCCAACATCATATGCCAGCTTCTACCGGACTGGCGTAGGCCATACAGGGACTTTTGTAGGTGACAAATTTGCTTGCCATCCCTAAAGTCTTCGAATATTCTTGCGGCTTTCTCGCCGACTACACTTGATCGGCCTCGTTTCTGTATGATAGACTCAAGAATATTAGCTAGATTGGTTGGAGGTCTCATGAAGACCTTCTCTTCGAGGGTACCATTTAGGTAAGCATTCGCTACATCGAGCTGTTCAATCTTCATGTCGTGAATTGCTGCCAAGGATATGAGCAGACGTATAGAGCTCATTCTAGCTGCAGGAGCAAACGTCTCATTAAAATGTACACCTGGCTTCTGGTTAAAACCTTGTGCCACTAATCTGGCTTTTCTTTTATCTAGCATACCATTAGATTTGTATTTATTTCTCAAAATTATGCGACTCCCGATGATCTCTTCTCCATTGGGGTATTGTACTAACTTCCAAGTATCATTTTTAACAATGCTTTCTACTTCTTGGCAGACTGATAGCTTCAAACCATTCGTTCGCATCGGCACCGTTCAACGCTTGATCTAATGGAATTTCGGAAAGAAAACCAAATACTGGTGCTTCGCTTGCCAAAGTGGTTTCTTCGGTTCTGAGGTTGTATTGTTTTCGAGGTCTTCCCTTCAAACCAATTCTTTCGATTCGCGGACGGCCTGGACCACGTCTAGTTGATGCCGCTTCTTCTTGATCGAAATGTTCATTCTCGGAACCCTCATCTTCACTTGTTGCTCTCTGGTCGCTATCTTGGATTTCTTGTCGATTGTCTTCGATCATAGGATCTATGGGAACGTCGATCATGGAAGTTGGAGGTATGACGTCTCCTTCTTCCATATCTTGAAGAACGAGATCTTCACAGTCATCATTCAACTTTAAATCTATTTTCTCTATAAATTTTACTTCTCGAGCTATGTATACTCTTCTCTCTTCTGGGAACCATACTCTAAATCCCTTGACTTCTTCTGAATATCCGACGAAAACGCCTTCCTTACATCTTGGTCGGAACTTATCTTGATTTGGTTTCTTCTGATGACATAATATACGACAACCAAAAGTCTTAAAATAGCTAACGTTGGGCTTCTTGCCCGTCCACAACTCAAAAGGAGTCAAGAGGTACGTGCTCCTAGAAGCTTTAATGAACTTTAGGAAATACAACGCAAAAATACAGAATACAAAAAAACAACAGCTCATTACTTTTTTTACAATTATTCATGTGTTCTTGTTTGTTGTCATGACAAACCTACAGGGTCGCCCTTTTCTAATATCTAACAATAAACTCAAACAAATTGGTTGTTACCTAATGTTTTTGGCCACTGCACGAATTTTTGGATGCAGTAGAGCTGTTTGTGAATCTACATTCTCTGTTTTAACCGGAATAAATCGTTCCGCGTTCAATGACGCATCAAAGATTGGCAAACTTGTTTTTTCTGGCTTTTGAAAAGTACCGTACCAATTCTTTGGACTTCGACAGGTTTTTACGAAAATTTAATAGCGTAAAAAATCAACGTTTACAATTATTTTAATGTTCTTTCAAAATGTAAAAACTGAGAAAAAATAAAGTAGTATTATTAAAATATGTATATATATTTACATGAAGCCCCCTCTGTCGACAAACTTGCCCCCCCTGAATAAGTTTTCTAGCTACGGGGCTGAATTAGATAGAGGAGTGCTGGGTGGCATGTACTTGCCGATAGAATAAGATCACCGTCATGGTGGTAGAACAGCCACAACCAGGATCCCCAAACTCCGCTCGTGCTCCAACTCCACCTGGGCAATTTTACTGTGGTCTAGAATGAAATTAATATAATTCGATCGTCACACTTTTGTAGCGCCCTGGTGGCGTTGCCGCTGTCCGCCCCGCTGCATAGAGTTTTTTATTAAAATTTTATTCTCTTGCTGAGTCCCGTAATTTCAAATTTGCCGCCACACGTCCGTAATAACTTGTGTATTTGTATCCAGTTACTTTGTTTCAGATTTTCTTTGTTTTTATTAAATTTGTGATATTCAAATATTTGCATTGATTCAGAACGTTTAATTTGATCTCATTGAAGGTTAGGCAAGTTTTTTTTTGTAGCTGAGCACTAAGGTGTCTTCAACTGGCACAATTTAGTCGCAGCTTTCACGGGCTTTTCAAATTTTTTCACATGTCAATTTAACGCGGGATGTTTGGGTTATCACAGCGTTTGTTTAAAAAATTAGTGAAATTTAACAAGAATTATTTTTATTGGTAAGTTTTCTGTTTTACACTTAATAATATACGTATTGCGTGCGTATCCATATAAAACTTTTTTTAAGAAATTAAAAATGGCTCTTTGGAGACCGTTTGATCATAACATTCCTTTTCCGAGGAAAAAGAAAGGAAAAACTTTATCGTCAGATGCAAAACAACTAATTCTTTGTTGTTATTCGATGCTGGTGTCAGAAAATAATATGTCACCGGTCCTCAGAACGGCAGAATTATTACAAATATCAGAAAATACGGTGAAATTTCTTTAAAAAAAGGCAAGCAGTACCACCTGCAGTAAAGCAGACGCGTCTTTTTACTAAGGTAACTGAGGGAATGAAAAAAGCCATACCTAGTATCAAAGATGCTTATATGCATCAAATGCAAGAAATTTTGTACCAACAGCAAGCTCCATCATGGAAGAACTTAAAGATGATGGAATCCTTATTTTATGCACTTTGAGGCATCGTATCATGTTGGAGGGGCTGAAGATTAATTCTGATTAGCGAGATTTATATTATTACCATTGTTATGTTTGCCATAATCATGTTTCTGGTTTCTACGTTAAATAGTCAAAGTTTATTATACAATTTTAAACATTTAGAATAAGTAAGAGAGAGGTACAAAATCATACTGCATATTTTAAACAGGATTTATTTAACAATATTTTGAGTTGATATGTATGTGTAGATATCAATTTGTGAAGGTGCAGTGTAATACTAATAATAATAGTATTGTTTTTCGAACTTTTCGGAAAAATGGAGTGTGTCGTTCCTGATTTAATCAATAAAATAAATTGACTCATTATTTTTTTTTGAGTCAGCCAATATAAGCAATTCTAAATAAATGCAATGATAAATCACAAGTCATCATGTTTTTCACGTTTTTGATAGAATTTAATCGGCAAGATTTTGAGATGACGTCATCAAGTTTTTTGGGGATAACAAAATAATATATTTTGGCTAAAAGGTTACCATGCTTACGATAAATTTAAAACGTCTGCAGGATTTCAAACACTACATTTTGCAGTTCCTGATTTAAGCAATCAAATAAATTGACTCATTCATTAATTTTTTTTGATCACCTGTACAAGCAATTTCAAAAAAATATGAACTGAATGATAAATCACAAGTCATGACACATCGAGAAAATGTGAAAATAGTCAGTCGCCCGATGGACTCGATTACAATACTTCCTTAGCTTACGTTCGGGAAGTAAAAATCACTAGAATTTTATAACTTATCTAAAAAATTTAACTTGTTTTGTTGTCTGCGCTACAAGGGAGGCAAGTCCTCTTTAAACTTTTTACGTTCGTAAAATTTATATAAACCAAGAATATTAAACTACAATTTATTTTCACTGGTATTGCTACAATTTTATTCAAGCAGGTTTCTAGCGTAATGTAATACATATATTATGTTTCACTCGCTTATGGTATACTTCTTTATTTGATGTACTGAATTCGAAAAACTTTCCTTTCTCTGCATTTTCCATCAAGTCTGGAATTTCATCACTTTCGGAAAGACAAAATCTAAGTATGTATAAAAGATCCAAACAGCAATCCGTAGCAAGAAAATTTTCTCCGGTGCTTCTTTAATGTGTTAAAAGGTAAAATATCCATCGGTTCACAATTCAGTTGATGTAAATATCCGCAGACAGCGTCGTAGTAAATTTTCAGCAACTGTCCCACATTCTTATATTTTTCTGTATCAACACATGGGTAAATGAAAAATGATAAATCCAAAATAGGTGAAGAGAAACCAGATAACTGCCAGTCGATTAAAGACATATCTACGGGTTTTCCCGACTGCTCCTAAAAAAATCGGTAATACTGTTTTTCAAGAACACTTTCTGAAATCTTTACTTTAAACATAAAATTATTAGTCCACGAGTCTCCATGAAGTATTACAGCATGATCCAAATCTTCAAAAACTAAAGACATTAAAATAGATGTCACCTCACTTTCTGAAAATGTAATCGATGCTACATTCTTATCATCTTCCCAAAACTTTCTCACTTCTTCGTAGTATTGAAAAAATATATGTGCCATTTTCACTTGCGAAATATATGTAGACCACATATTGCCATAGTTTTTCACCAGTCGTTTAAAAGTTTCAGGTTGTTTGTAACGCAAAGCTAGTGAAAAAGCATGCCACTTTCCGTAACCTTCTAAAACCAGTCTGACTTGTAGAAAAGTTAGTGGAATTTTTCGGTTAGCCATTTCAAATCCTCGCGCTTTTAAGTTTTCCAAAATCAGAGCTTCATTATTTTCAAAATTGCGAGTGAGGTAACAAGTTGGTAGTGACTTCAAAATATCGCTTTCGAATCCCATTTCCTGTTGGAAGTTGGTAAAAGTTGGTATGACCTTCTCGTAGATATAAATTTCTAACTCAAAAAATCTTTTAATGGGTAGTTCATTTCGAAGAAGTTCATTTTCCGCAGACGTTTTTACGACTAAATTTAATTCCTTTGTGTCTTCGTTTTTAGTTTTGCCAGTAACAGAAGCAAAAGTAACTTTGCCGAGGTACCCATCACCTCGTTCTGTTTTCCCGTGAACCTGTATTTTGTAATCGATAAAATTTTCATCTTTTGTTACAAGTTTCAACACTTCTGAAACTCTTTTATCACACATTGCGACTGAGTTACACAAAGAGAGTATTAATAGAGTATTAAGATTAAGTAATTTTCAGTGCGCGTGCGCTTATATTACAAGAAGATTAATGAGATATTTGTCTGGGTCGTTATCATTGTTTTAATTTGATTCAGACGTGATATGCACAAATGATATGTTTATCTATTACGGAAAAAATTTGCTGAATAATTGTTTCTTTTAACAGAGATTTTTAATCTTAAACTTTTAAATATGTTGTAGGTGCAATTAATCCTACTAACTTTGGTATAGTTTTTTAACAGTTGACAAGAAATATTTCAACGATCGGAACTCATAAACCCGTTGCTCCTTCGTTTTGCTTTTTCCATGTTTTGTTGGTCACTTTGAACGGCTCTTGAGTGCAGTAATTCTCTCGTGGCTAACTTGTCTTTTCCCTTACTACTGACATAATTTTGTAATGAATAAATACTTATGGAAATTGTGGTGATTCTAATAAAATACGTTCTTATAAATTACAAAACAACTGTTATTACGTTATTAGATTCCCACTTCATACAGTACACTGGTGCGTCTGATAGTGATTTAAAGATAATATATTGTAAAAATACAAATCAGTGAAATTGGTTTGTAGTGTGTAAAACCAATATAAAGCTTAAAGACGCGAAGGATCTTGTTGATAGCATCTAGAAGAAAATTTTATCATTTTTACATAAAATAAAAAATTGGTCTAAGGTTAATTACAATCGACCAAATCCAGTTTTTTTTTAGGTTTTGCAAAATTTTATTTATTTTATTAAGCATCCAAAATTTCCAGTCTACAGTCGGAATATAGGTAATAGATATTTTTGAGAATTTATGGAAAAATTATAAGACCAGAGTTCGCAATGTCAGAAAACTTTATTTAGGGAAGTTAAAAATGATATTTTCAAGTTAAAATTTTCGGAATTTTGTTAAAGAAGCTAAGAATGATAATCACAGCATTCCTTATTTCTTATACCTTGGAATTCTCATGATACTGATGGTCAGGTTCGATCAAGTCAAGGCATCGCAGATCTCTTTCCTAAATTTTTTCAGGAAAACTATTCTAAATTATCTGTCATCTCGGATCAGGTACAAGAAACCAAGGATAGCATATTTGATGTTAATAACTTTGAATCAGTTGAAGATATTACAAGTAAAATATGTACTCTGAATGATAAAGCAACCTGACCTGACCTTTTTTTTTGGGAGGAGACATCTTGCATGCAGCAAGAATCAGAGATCCTTTTTTATGTGAGTTGTGGTCATACCTGTCGGAACGGGAACAAACAGTTAAAGTAAAGTAAAGTAAAGTTTTCTCTTAAAATATAAAAGTAACTTCAGGTGTACCACAAGGTACCCGTCTAGGACCATTGCGGTTTAATATTTATTTAAACGATCTTAAAAAGATTTTATGGATAAGACTGCATTCTTGTTGTATGCAGATGATTTAAAATTTTTTCGCGTTACTAATAAAAATACTGACTGTCTCTCAAATTAGAACGTCTTGAGGTTTTTTGTGCTTTGGGTATTTATCTCGACAGGTCTATGAGTTATACATATCATATGAATAAAATCATATCTAAATGTAACAAGCGGTTAGCTCAGCTTAGTTCAGGTTAAAAAATTTGCAGATACCCCACCAATTATTATTATTATTACATACAGGCTGATTCAGCGTAAATGACGAATTTATCCTATCCGGATAGGCACCCCAAAATACATTTTTCTTCTATTCCTTGATTTATAGTGCATAGAATAGAAAATATCATGAATCCAAGTTTGCATTCTTGTGTCACTGTCAATTTTAAGGAGTTGAAAGTTAGGCATTTCCAAAAATGCCAAGATATTCATTTTACAACACCAAGACAACGGATATAACCTTAATTTGTGGAGAGTATAAAAAAATGCTTTAATGTACTCCTAGAAATACACCGAATGTAGACATCCAACAGATAAAATTTTCAAAAGAAATTTTTGAAAGAATTTGTAGTCTTTTTTACCCTCTCGGGACTAAAACTGATAGTGTAAATCGGGACTAAAGTGGTTCTTTTTGACCCTAGGGACATGACAACCAAACACTTTTAACTTAAAATGGTAATATAAACACATCGAAAAATGCAAAAATATTTACATCTATAGCCTTGGTTACCCGACAGAGCTTACTGTTGCGATTGATGATAGGTAATTTCGAATATTTTCTTCCAATTTAAAATTTAGTATCTATAGTCCCGAGAGGACAAAAAATAGTATATACACGACTAGACTAAAGTGCGATGTAATCCCTCAAGTGGTTACAGCGCGAGCGTTAGCGAGGGCACTAATATCCACTTTCGGAATTAAATCTTGCACTTTAGTCTCCTCGTATATAATATACTATTTTTTAAGATTCTCAAAACACGAAAGAATTTAATAATATATTCGAGAAACTGTTAAAACTTCGGCTCGTGAAATAAAAAGCAAAAATATGAAACTGTATTGTCATTAGTATTGTAGTAATTTTATTCAACCAGGTTTCTAGCGTAATGTAAAATATTATCTTTCACTCGTTTATGGTATACTTCTTTATTTGAAGTAATGAATTCGAAAATTTCCAAAAAGTTGTTTCCTTTCTCTGCATTTTCTATCAAATCGGGAAGTTCTTCACTTTCGGAGAGACAAAATCTAAGTATGAAAGATCCGAAGAGCAATCCATAGCAAGAAAATTTTTTCCAGTGCTTCATTAATGTGTTAAAAGGTAAAATATCCACCGAATCACAATTCAGCTGATGTAGATATCCGCAAACAGCCTCGTGGTAAATTTTCAGTAACTCTTCCACATTTTTATATTTTTCTGTATCAACACATGTGTAAATGAAAAATGATAAATCCAGAACAGGTGAAGAGAAACCAGAGAACTGCCAATCAATTAAAGACACTTCTACAGGTTTTCCCAATTGTTCCTAAAAAAAAACTCGATACACTTAATTGTTTTTTAAAGAACACTTTCTGGTATGTATACTTTAAACATAAAATTGTTAGTCCATGAGTCCCCATGAGTTATTACAGCATGTTCCAAATCTTCCGAAACTAAAGAGATTAAAATAGATGCGACCTCATTCTCTGAAAATTTAACCGATGCTACATCTGTATCATCTTCCCATAACTTTCTTACTTCTTCGAAATACTGAAAAAATACACGTGCCATTTTCGCTTTCGAAATATATCTAGACCACATATTACCATAGTTCTTCACCAGTCGTTTAAAAGTTTCAGGTCGTTTGTAACGCAAAGCTAGCGAAAATGCATGCCACTTTCCGTAGCCTTCTAAAACTAGTCTGACTTGTGGAAAAGTTAGTGAAATTTTTCGATTAGCCATTTCAAATCCTCGCAATTTTAAGTTCTCTAAAATTAGAGCTTCATTCTTTTCAAGGTTTCGAGTAAGGTAACAAGTTGGTAGTGATTTCAAAATATCGCTTTCGATCCCATTTCTTATTGAAAGTTTCTAAAAGTTGGTACAACCTTATCGTAGATGTAAATTTCTAGCTCAAAAAGTTCTTTAATGGGTAGCTCATTTCTAAGAAGCTCATTTTGCGCAGATGTTTTTATGACTAAATTTAATTCCTTTGTATTTTCTTTTTTAGTTTTGCCAGTAACAGAAACGAAAGTAATTTTACCTAGGTACCCATCACCTCGTTCTGTTTTCCCATGAACTTGTATTTTGTATTCGATAAAATTTTCTTCTGCTATTAATAGTTCTATTAAGTCTGAAACTCTTTTATCACACATTGCGACTAATCCCACCAAGTTACACAAAAAGAGTATTACGTGATACGGGTTCGCTTTGACACGATAATTATACACAAGAACAGATAATGGAACATTTGTTTTAATTTGATCCGGTCATGATATGTCTAGATAAGTGGTTCGTGCGTACATTACTTTGAAGAAAACAATGGCGATTACAAAATTTACTGAACAATTGTTTTACTTGTTAACACATACGTATTTTTAATCTTAAATTATTAAATTTGTTACACGTTCAATTAATACTGTCAACTTTGGTACAGTTTTTTATAACTTGACAATATTTTAACAATGAGAACTCAAACACTTGTGTTTCTTCCTTTTATTATTTCAGTGGGTTACTTACGTTTTATTAGTCACGTTAATGCAATAAATCTGTCGCGATCAACTTGTCTTGGCCTTTATTACTGAATAAATTTTACAATGAACGCTTGTGAAAATTGGGGGAATTAGAAAATTATTGCAGTTAGGGTTCCATTTCATATAATTTATACTGGTTTGCTCGATAATGATTTAAAGATAATTAATTTGTAAAAAATGCAAATCATTAAAATTGGTTTGACGTGGATGCAGCTTTAAGATGTGAAAGTTCTGGTCAATATCATGTTGAAACAATGTTATTGTTGTTAAATAAATTAAAAAAGAACCTACAATTTCCACAATAGAAAATTTCGAAAAAATGTGCCAGGTACTCATGTGAAAACGAAAAAGAAATTCTCTGAAACTCCTTGTATCTTTTCAACCTACTGCTCTTTCTAAAGCATAGTTTAAAATATTGAGTCCTTTCTGACATATTAATGGGCCTAGGTTCACGTTCTATTGGAGGTAGAATGGGGGGGCGGCCTTATTCTGTAACGATCCTCTCTATTGCAAAGTGTTTTTAATCGGACGCTGAATTCAATTTAGAGGAACGCGGTCGTTATCCGCGAAAGTGGCGACGCCAGTGCAGACAGGTGTAATTCAGCGTCCGGCGGGGCTTTTGTCCAGGAAGTACCTGTTTCCGTCCACTGGTTGGTTCCCCCAAAATAGCACGAAAGTACGATCTCTCGGCAAGTGGGGGTAAACACATTGTCTAGCTTTCGGTGTGATTATAAACGACTGAACTTACCAATCCCCCCTGAAACAAATCTCGCCTCTTTGAAAAACCATGAAATTTGATTTTGCGATTTTCGTTTTGTGCCACGGGGGCGCAAATTGGAAGGTATCGGTATATATTTAACCAGAAAATGAACTCTTAGAATTTACATGGTTAATTTCCAGTATTTATGTTTATATTTCGAAAAAATTTGTATAAATGAAAAGGAAATTTGACTGACTTTGTCTCCTTAAACCAGAGGGGTGGACTGACTAATACTTCAAAACGGTCGAAAATTATTTCGAGTGAGGACCTATTATTGTAAGAAAAATTATTTGCAGTGTGACATTGTGTAATTTTCGAGTAAATAGGGTGAACTGTTCTTGATTTGATTAAATAAAAAAGATGTAACGAGGATAAGAATGAGATTAGAATTCGCTAGTGCAAACCTGTGGTGCAAACCTTATTCGAACCCTTGGGAGACAGAAATTAGTCACCTCCTGACGCCGCAGCCCAAGCAGCTACAACACAGTTGTTATCAAGCGCGCGAAGTATCGCCCAGCTAACATTGCAGAAACATATTTTTGAGAAAATAATTGTGATTAAAACTAAATCCGGATTCGTAAACTACAAGTGTACTATAAAATATAAAAAATATGCTTTGTTAAAAATTTTAGGGGGATGACATCACGTTGTAGGTGGGGATGAATAGACAAATTTTGATTAGCCTTATAGCGTTTATTCATTTACTCACTAGTCCAGTAGTTTCGGAGATTATGTGCCTAATAAAACTGGATAGAGGTGCCAGACAGATAGACGAAAAAGTGAGACTACTTTTGTTAGAGATCATGAAACGTCGAGAAAACATAATTATTATATATATATATATATATATATATATATATATAATATAAAAAAAATGTCATTCGTCCGATGGACTCGATTACTATATTTCCTGAGCATGCACTCAAGAAGTAAAAAGCACCGGTGCTGTTCTATATCATAAAAATAATAATATAGAAAAATTAAAAAAATTAAAATGACATGGTTTAATGCTATATGATTTAATGATGGTCAGATGCTGGTGGTATAATTCGATATCATTTTCAAAACGTGTCTCCTCTCAGTAATCGTACTATACCTTCAACTCTGGATTCGTATACTCAGTTATTCCATTATTCAGCTATTACCTGTAAAATAAACCCTACGAAACCTTACAAAACATTTAATTTTTTTTTTAAATAACAAGCTCTAATAAAACTTTATGGTAAATGTACAATATAAAACCCAAAAAAAGCTGCCATTAATTTTCACCAACATTTCAACAATTTTATTCAACCAAGTTTTTGGCATAATGTAGTATACTTCTTTCACTCGCTTGTAGTATACTTCTTGATTTGAAATACTTTTTTTTTAATTTTCCAAAAAGCTTTTGCCTTTTTTTGCGATTTCTAGAAAATCGGGAACTTCTTCATCTTCGGAAAGGCAACGTTTGAGTATAAAAGACCCCAAAATTAATCCACAATACGAAAATTTTCTCCAGTGCTTCACTAATGTGTTAAAAGGTAGAATATCCCCCGGATCACAATTTAACTTAGTCAAGTGTCCGCAAACTGCATCGTGGTAGATTTTTAGGAAATCTCCCACATTTTGATATTTTTGTGTATCAACACAAGTGTAAATGAAATATGATAAATCAAAAACAGGTGAAGCGAGATCAGACAACTGCCAGTCAATTATACAGACCTCTATAGGTTTTCCTGACTTTTCCTAAAAAATACTCAGTGTAAATTTCACTAAAAAAATTATTCCACTATGTCTACTTTAAACATAAAATTGTTAGTCCAACAATCCCCATGAACAATTACAGCATCATCTAAATCTTCAGAAAGTAGACAGGTTAAAATGTATGTAACTTCATTCTCTGAAAATTTAACCGATGCTACGTCCCTGTTATCTTTCCAAAACTTTCTCACTTCTTCGTAGTGCTGAAAAATTACATGTGCAGTTTTCGTTTCCAAAACACTTGTAGGCCACATATTACCAAAATTTTTCACTAGTTGTGCAAAAGTTTTAGGTCGTTTGTATCGCAGAGCTAATGAAAAGGCGTGCCACTTTCCATAACTTTCTAAAACCAGTTTGATGTGTTCAAAAGTCAGCGGAATTTTTCGGTTAGCTATATCAAATCCTTGCGATTTTAAGTTTTCCAAAATAAGTGCTTCTTCATTTTCGAGGTTTTGCGTAAGGAAACAAATTGGCATCGACTTCAAAAAATCGCTTTCGAATCCCATTTCGTGTTGGAAGTTTCGAAAAGTTGGTATAACCTTATTATAAACGTAAATTTCTGATTAAAAAAAAATCTTTAATGGGGATCTGACTTCGAAGAAGCTCATTTTGAGCAGATGTTTTTATGACTAAATTTAGTTCTTTTGAATCTTCATTGTTAGTTTTGCCAGTAACCGAAACAAAAGTAACTTTACTTAGGTACCCATCACCTCGCCTTGTTTTTCCATGAAATATGATTTTGTATTCGACAAAGTTTTCGTTTCTTGTTAGAAGTTCTATCAAGTTTGAAACTCTTTTATCAGACATTGCGACTGCAGTCACGAAGTTTGACGTCAAGATAACATATATTAATGCATTACCGACACCTATTCTAAGTTTTAAACTTTTTAAAGTGGTTACGGACAGTTAATCATCTTTGGTATAGTTTTTTTGTCCCTCGACAATATTTCAATGATAACAACACATTAGCCTATTTTTCTGGGTTTGATTTCTTCCATGGCCTATTTATGCATGTTTTAGTTGTTACTTTGGACGGCCCATGGGTGTAATAACTCTCTCCTAGGCAATGTAACTTGTCTCATCTTACTGATTAGAGTAATGAAGGCTTGTGGAAATTGTGGTGAATCTAAAAGGTCACTTAATAAAATATACATACAAAGCAATTGCTGATAGGGTTCAAACAATATGCACTGGTCTGCCTGATCGTATTTAAAAATAATTTAATAAAATACCAGTCATTTAAATTGATTTGAAGTGCGTGCAGAACTAATATAAACCAACTCAGAGACATGCATTCAGAAGCAATTTTTGTCATTGTTAAATCACTACATACTACATAGTATATTAAATAAAGTCTCTATATGTCTGTCTGAACGCGATAATCTCAAAAACTATTGTGCTGATAGTTTTACCGATAGAGTAATTCACGAGGAAGGTTTAGGCGTATAATTTATGAAGGTTTTGTGAAAATTGGCCGAACTATGATAATAATAATTATTGTCGAGCAAGTGGGACAAAATCATGCCATCTGAAAGCGTGATTGGTATGGGCTCCGTAAACCGTCAGAATATCGGACGCTGCATATTTGTTTTGTTTCAGTAATGTCTATCGTACATTATAATTGGATAGATCTCTTAAATAATATACAATACATATACAACTTTATTACGCCAAACAAATGATCCGAACATAGACACTTAATGCTGCTCTTCATCGAACTTCCACACTAGATAATTTCCAAGAAATTTGCCAAGCTGTCACAAAAAGAGGAGAAAGAGAACAAACTTGATAATTTTTTGAATTTCGGGGAAGCAAGTGATGTGACTCTCTGAAACCAATTTTAAGCTGCTGCAACAAAAGTCGTAGTATCATTTCAATCTACTACTATAGATCATTTTAAAACATAGTTTAAAATATTGGGTCGTTCTGATGTTAATAGCCTATGTCCTTTTCCATATTTTATTACAGTCATAATGTGTATGTTTCTATCTATATATGTCAACGAAGCCACTGATCTGTTTGCTACGGATTTTTAAAAAGCATTTGACCAAATAAATACCTACTTTCACTTTACTTCATGAAATTAAACCTTTAGGATTTATTATATTGTAGGTAAGCGACGAAAAATGTTGCTGCCCCGGTGGGAATCGAACGAAACGTCTCCCACTTGCCGGACGGGTGCCTTGACCACTAGACCACGAGGCCGCTTAGCTTTCTCCGCTTACCAACGTGTTATTGTGCCGCCACAATATTATACTCCTAAGATTTTTTTTTTATTTTAAGTCTCCAGTTTTTTTGTTGTTGATATTTTCGTTTTACATCTTATAATGAGCAGAATTTTTTTGTTATAAATTTTAAGTGCATGTTTTGGCATTGATGACAATGGAGGTATTTCTGTAAATTCAAGGTTGTAAAACAACCATGGCAAGGAACATCCATAGCAGTTCTGAGCGCAAAAAAACTTCAGAGTTTTCGGTATTTTTACCCCTGCCGTTTCTGCAGCTCAATTTGTACCACAATGTCTCAGCCTAGGCTTGCTTAGGCAAGCAGGCGGATATCTGGGATATGGACATTGTGCTTCTTCAGGGATAACGGGGGACGGGTAAAGGGCCTATGTTTATAGAAACTATCAAACCTAGGGCATGCCTCTATTTATCTAAACGGATACAGACCCTTCCTTTAGAACACATGTTCAGCCTGTTCCTTAGGGATGTAGCCGCTGCCTGTATAAATATCATAACCGATAGGACGCTGGGATCACAAATAGTGTGCTGGGTCTGTCTACCGTATGACTCATCTATATTATCACCCTCAGCTGAGTTGAACCTACCTACGTCACTAAAGTGAGGGAAAAGGTTATTGATATTACTGTGAGCTCAATAGGGCTGGCTCATGAAATCAGACTAGCATGCATCGACAGAGCCGAGTTCATTGGAATATCGATACATGAAGAGTCGAAACGGGAGCATGGAGATCCAAGAGCGACAACTGATACGAATTGAGTCCAACATGCAAAAGTAGCGGAAAAAATGGCCATTGTCGAGTCTTACAAGGAGAGTTGCCGAACGCGTAACCTTCGTAGTGTCGGCTGAACTCCATGAGGGTACTCTAATCTCAGTAGGTTGACACAAGGAAGCTCTGGCATAGGGCCCGACTTGACCAATCATCCAATTATCCTTGGGAGCTGCAGGTATCAGAGGGTTCAAAAAGAATTTAAATCCAATTCAACTTGGGAAAACAAACAGATGGAAGTACTTCTGTAGAAAGATAGACTACTTTCCATAAGCAGCAAGACTTTAAAGGTCCTCATTAAGGACTTATTCACTAAATTAGAGTAACCGCACATGCCCTTGTGGCATGAGTCTCCTATTACGTACGCACTTACCAAACTCAATAGAGTGTAATAAGGGGGTATAGGAAACCCCAATACACATCGTTTCTTGAGACAAATGGCCATTTGCCACTAAAATCGTCGCCCCAGAGAAGTTGAAATAGACAGTAAACTTTTTGCTACATTCAAATCAGTGAGTAATTGAGTATGAGTGAAATTTTTCCAGATCTCTTGCAAAACATCGTAGAATCTCTTACTAAGACACTGTAGCATCTTTTCAGAGCTTAGCTCGCTTTGAGTTATATACTTCCTGGCTGGAGGGAAGTAAGAACTCCCTTGATTCATTATCTGGGCATATTTTACCTTACACGTTGTTTAAAGTAAAAAGATCTAAATCATATAAAAAAAAAACTTGTCATATGTCTGACACTGAGAAATAAGAAATCTAGAACACTTTATATTAAATATAAAGTATGTATAAAGAATAAAGGAAATTAAAGTACTGTTTATTTTCTCTAATATTGCAACAGTTTTATTCAGCCAGGTTTCTAGCGTAATGTAGTATATTATCTTTCACTCTCTTGTGGTATACTTCTTGATTTGAAGTATTGAATTCGAAATTTTCCAAAAAACTTCTACCTTTCTCTGCTGTTTCTATAAAATCGGGAACTTCTCCACCTTCGGACAGAGAAAATCTCAGTATAAAAGTCCCTATAATTAATCCGCAACACGAAAATTTCCTCCAGTGCTTCATTAATGTGTTAAAAGATACAATATCCTCCGGAACACACTTCAGCTTACGTAAATATCCGCAAACAGCACTGTGGTAAATTTTCAGCAATTCTTCTACATTTTTATATTTTCCTGTATCCACACAAGTGTAAATGAAATATGATAAATCAAAAACAGGTGAAGCGAGACCCGAAAACTGCCAGTCGATTAGACACACTTCTGTAGGTTTTCCAGACTTTTCCTGCAGAAGACTAGATAGAAATGTATCTAAAAAAATAATTCTAATATGTCTACCTTAAACATAAAATTGTTAGTCCAGCAGTCCCCATGAATTATCACAGTATGATCCAAATCTTCAGAAAGTAGAGAGGTTAAAATAGATGTCACCTCATTCTCTGAAAATTTAACCAATGCTACATCTGTACCATTTTCCCAAAACTTTCTCACTTCTTCGTAGTACTGGAAAAATACACGTGCAAGTTTTGTTTTCAAGATATATATAGACCACATATCGCCTAAATTTTCCACTAGTTGTTTGAAAGAATCAGGTCGTTTGTATCGCAGAGCTAGTGAAAAGGCGTGCCACTTTCCATAACTTTCTAAAACCAGTTTGATGTGTTCAAAAGTCAGCGGAATTTTTCGGTTTGCCATTTCAAATCCTTGCGATTTTAAATTTTCCAAAATAAGCGCCTCCTCGTTTTCAAGGTTTTGCGCAAGGTAACAACTTGGCAGCGACTTCAAAAAATCGCTTTCAAATCCCATTTCGTATTGGAAGTTTCTAAAAGCTGGTATAACCTTATCGTAAATGTAAATTTCTAATTCAAAAAATTCTTTAATCGGCAATTGACTTCGAAGGAGCTCATTTTGGGTAGATGATTTTATGACTAAATTTAATTCTTTTTTATCTTCAGTGTTAGTTTTTCCAATAACAGAAACAAAAGTAACTTTGCCTACATATCCATCACCTCGTCCTGTTTTCCCTTGAATTTCGACTGTGTATTCGATAAAGCCTTCGTGTCTTATTAAAAGTTTCATCAAGTCTGAAATTCTTTTATCAGACATTGTGACTGCTGTGACTGAAGTTACACCAAGAGAATATTCACCATATTACCGAATACTTCTTTTTGTTTTAAACTTTTAAATTCGTTGTAGGTGCAGTTAATTTTATCAATATTGGTATAATGGTATAGTTTTTTTATCACTAAGTAGACCATATTTCAGCAGTAACACATACACCTTTGTTTCTGGGTTGTATTTTTTTCGTGGCCCACAAATGCTTGTTTTGTTAGTGAAATTACCTTGTCAGTATTTGATTACTGACTAAATTAAGGCTACTTACTTATACCACGACCTATAAATTACTACAAAGCGATTGCTGTAAAAACCCACTTTATAAAACTTCCTTCACAGTGATTTAAATATATTTTGAAAAAATACAAATCACTGAAATTCCTCTGTAGTGTGTGCAGCATCTGTTACTACCAGCTCAAAGGTGTGAAACTTGTCGATAGTACCCAGAAGGAATGTTTGTTATTGTTAATTAAATCTAAGAAAACGTTCAAGTTTCCACAGTAAATTACTTTGAAAAAACTTGAGAAATCGTCTTGGAAAGACGAAAAAGGAAAACAAACTTTATAAGTTTCGAAATTTTGGCATAATTCAGTGACGATTAGTTAATACTGGAGAAACGAGTTGTTTAGTTGCTGCAACAGAAGTTCTTGCATCTCTTCGACCTATTACTTTACCTTTCTAAAGCATAATTTGAAAGATTAAATAGCTCTGATACTGCTGACGTACGTCTACGTTCCATTAAAATCATAGTATGTTCATATTGTCACATTAGACTTTTTGGGGTTTTATCCCTGCAGTGGTGACGTACGGTCTCTCAGACCGACTAAAATTTAAATTTTGAATTTTAGCGCCTACGCACGTCATACGTCATTCTGCGTCAGTTTAGCTTATTTTTTTAGTTCTCCGAACCTGCAGTGTGCATCATAGCGTGCAGGCGTTAATAGCTGTCAAGTAACTGCCAATTTCGGACTCTCAGACCGACGTCACCACTTATGCTACACTTTGTTAAATTGTAATATTGAAAAAGTTTTTACTTGTTTTGTGTTGTGAAGTGAATTTATTGCTAAAGGTAAGTTTTAAGATGCAACAAAACTGTTGTCTTAAGTGTAAACAATTCTAGAAGATATTTGCAAACAATAATGAGTTATGAAGCGGACCAGCAGAGACTTCAACGTCTGATGGAAGAGTGTTTTTCTGATGAAGATGATTGCGAAGCTGACGACGCGGTAGATGATGAAGTTGAAGACGGTCGTTTTGAAGAACGAGAAGAAAATACCGATACAGAGCAGGAATTAGAATTTGACGACGTTGAATCTGATCAAGAATCGAGTGAAGAACGAAAGGTAAATACGAGGTTGGTTTTTATTGGCAAGGATGGAACTATTTGGAGAAAGCATTGTAAGCAAAGGAAGGTTAGACGAACAATAAAAAATATTGTGACTCAATTACCAGGACCCATTGGTCCTGTACGGTTAGTCAAAACACCACTTGAAATTTTTCATCACTTTTTTGATCAGAATGTATTAGATATAATAGTTGAAAATACAAACAAATATTTAGCGACTGCAGAAGCTAACTATTCTCGAGCGACTTATACTCGTCCCACAAATTTTATAGAAATTCAAGCATTACTGGGCATTCTGTTACTTAGTGGTGTCAAAAAATCAAATCACTTGAACGCTGAAGATTTATTTAAATCGAATGGTACTTGCCCCGAAATATTCAGACTTACAATGTCGTGCCAAAGATTTCGAATTCTTTTGAGATACCTGAGATTTGATGATATAGACACTCGCGCTGAGCGAAAATCTTTGGATAAGCTGGCTCCTATCAGAGAATTGTTCACGGCTGTAGTAGACAACTGTAAGAAAAATTACAGCCTCTCTCATAGCACAACAATCGATGAGAAACTAGAAGGCTTTCGGGGCCGTTGTTCCTTTCGCCAATATATTCCGAGCAAGCCCAATAAATATGGCATTAAAATTTATGCTCTTTGCGATGCAAAAATGTTTTATACGGCTAATCTAGAAGTCTACGTTGGAGCCCAACCTGAAGGGCCATTTTCACAAAATAACAGTGCACTTGCAGTTGTCGATAGACTGTGTGAACCAATGAAAGGAAAAGGTAGAAACCTTACTACTGATAATTTTTTTACAAGCACTGAATTGTCTGAGCTATTGCTGCGCCATAAAATTACAACTGTAGGAACAATTAGAAAAAATAAGCGTGCGTTGCCACGAGAATTTGTTGAAGGAAAAAATCGGCCGATTGGTTCTAGTATGTTTGGTTTTAGGGATGATTGTACTCTAGTATCTTATATTCCCAAAAAAAATAAAAACGTTCTTCTGATTTCTACTATGCATGACGACGATTTAGTCAATGAGGCTACAGGAAAACCACAGATAATTCTTGATTATAACGCCACTAAAGGAGGAGTGGATACTGTAGACCAATTGTGCGCTAACTATAATTGTGCCCGTAATACCCGGAGGTGGCAAATGGTGGTTTTTTACAGTCTTGTAAATATTTCTGCAATAAATTCAGAGGTAATTTTTCACGCAAATAACCCCGAAGATAGAACTCTTCGTCGACACTTTTTAGAAGACTTATCTTTTGCGCTGATAAATAACCATTTGAAAGCACGAGCTTATTCCGAAAATTTACCAAGAACAATGCGCACCAGAATTCGGGAACTTTGCCATCTTGATCCTGAAGCTTCCACATCACAAGAACCAACAGAACCAGGACGCTGTGAATTGTGCTCTTCCAAGAAAAACAGAAAAACTCGATTCTTCTGTAAGAGCTGCAAGACGTTTATGTGCCTAGAACATTGTATAATGATCTGTGAAGATTGTTTCGGTAAAAATTTGGTTTGCGATAACTAATCTTGTTTAGAATTGATAAATAGTTATTTTTCTTGTAAAACTGTTTAATTTTATTTCACAAAAATATGAAAATTGTACTTTGTTATGTCTTCTAAAATTTGAATTTGCAAAAAAAAATTGAATTTAATTTTTTTCTTAAATAAAAAACTAAATCTGACAGTTCTGTTTACAATCAATAAGCTGTAAAGATAGTATAGTTAATAAATATTAAAAAAAAAAACACGAAAAAGTTGAAATGTCTGTGAGACCGACGTCACCACTGGTGTCATGAAATAGCACGTCACCACTGGAGGGTTAAAATATCGACATTTCTCTCTTCGGGAAATCGTCTAGACGCGAATTGCGGCGGCAGACCGAGGAGACCGTAGTGCTGAGCTTGCCATAGATTGATGAACTATGATTTTGCAAGCTCAGCACGGGAGAGTCTTTCTGGGCTCGTACCGGAGCTTCGGAAAGCAGAGTGTGTGTGGTGGCTCACGGCGACATAAGCTAGGTAAGTAGTTTTAGTAGTTATATGTATTTTTTTTGTAAATTTTTTTGTTTTGGGTAAATAGATTTTCTTTTTAAGTTTTTTTTTTTACTTTTTATTTGAAGAGTTTTGGGGGCACGTGACATATTTGGTGGAGGCGCCGGGCATCGATCCCGGCACCTCTCGCGCTGTATAGATTTTCAAGAAGCATTTGAAGAAAATTTTCAGGAAGTATAAATTAACTTCTTATAATGCTATTATTTTTTTTTCATTCTCAACTATGCTGTTGTGTTCATACTTTGTTCCTACATGCCATGATGCGAAGAAATTTGTTGTTATAAGTTGTAAGTGCCAGTTTTCGCCATGGTGACGATAGGGGTACTTCTGTAGCTTCAAAATTGTCAAAACGTTTTGGTCACATTTCGATGAAACTCTTGCACCCTCCGACGTGGGCTTTTAACACTTAACTGTGAGGTGTTACCTAACGTTGAAGTGTTACTGAATGTAACGACGTGTGAAAGATAGGTATGTCTTGCTTATTGCCAGCTCCAAGAATTCATTGCATCTAAGCAATGTACTATAAAGTGCGTCGAGTTATGTGTTCAGACAAATGCCACTACAGCTTATTCCTTAATTCTTCATTCATAGTGTCATCAACCCTTAACGAGGCTTATTAAGTTCACAAAAAAATAAATTCTAAGACTTCATGGTAAATGTAAAATTTAAAGAACAAAAAAAATTGAACTATAATTTATTTTCACTAATATTGGAACAATTTTATTCAACCACGTTTCTGGCGTAATGTAATATATTATCTTTCACTCGCTTGTAGTATACTTCTTGGTTTGAAGTATTGAATTCAAAATTTTCCAAAAAATTTTTGCCTTTCTCGGCTGTTTCTATAAAATCGGGAACTTCTTCACTTTCGGACAAACAAAATCTGAGTATAAAAGAACCAAAAAGCAATCCATAACACGAAAATTTCCTCCAGTGTTTTACTAATGTGCTAAAAGGCAAAATATCTCCAGGATCACAGTTCAGCTGATGTAAATATCCGCAAACAGCGTCGTGATAAATTTTCAGCAAGTCTTCCACATTTTTATATTTTTCTGTATCAACACAAGTATAAATGAAATATGATAAATCCAAAACCGGCGAAGCGAGTCCAGACAACTGCCAGTCGATTACATACACTTGTGTTGGTTTTCCAGCCTTTTCCTAAAAAAAATCAGTAAAAATAAAAAAAAATATATTACAATATGTCTACCTTAAACATAAAATTGTTAGTCCAGCAGTCCCCATGAATTATTACAGCCTGATCCAAATCTTCAGACACTAATGAGATTAAAATAGATTTGACTTCATGTTCTGAAAATTTAACCGATGCTACATCCTTATTATTTTCCCAAAACTTTCTCACTTCTTCGTAATACTGTAAAAATACAGGTGTGAGGTTCGTTTTTAAAATATATCTAGACCACATATTGCCTAAGTTTTTCACTAATTGTTTAAATGTCTCAGGTCGTTTGTATCGCAAAGCTAGTGAAAAAGCGTGCCACTTTCCGTAACTTTTCAAAACCAGTCTGATGTGTTCAAAACTCAGTGGAACTTTTCGGTTAGCTACATCAAATCCCTGCAATTTTAAATTTTCCAAAATTAGGGCTTCATCATTTTCCAGGTTTTGGGTAAGGTAACACGTTGGCAGCGACTTCAGAACATCGCTTTCGAATCCCATTTCTGTCTCGAAGTTTTTAAAAGTTGGTACAACTTTATCGTAGATGTAAATTTCTAGTTCAAAAAGTTCTCTAACTGGTAGCTGACTTCGAAGAAGCTCATTTTGCGCAGACGTTTTAATGACTAAATTTAATTCTTTTGTGTCTTTGTTTTTGGTTTTACCGATGACAGAAACAAAAGTAACTTTTCCTAAGTACCCATCACCTCGTCCTGTTTTCCCATGAACTTCTACTTTATATTCGAGAAAATTTTCGTTTCTTGCTACAAGTTCTACCAAATCTGAAACTCTTTTCTCACACATTGCAAATGATGCCACCAAGTTACACAGAGTGAATATTAAATGAGTTTGAATGCGGGCTCACTTTGATACGTTAATTATATAAGTACCAAAAGATAATGGCTGCGGTTATCATTGTTTTCATTGATCCAGACGTGATATGCATTAATTTATTATTTTAAAGAAAACAATAGCGATTATAGAACTTACTGAACAATTGTATTACACAACACTTATTTTTAGTCTTAAATTTAAAAAATCCAATAATTTTAAACAATACTATAAAAAAGCCAAAAGTAAATAAATTACTCAAAAATGAGATTTTTTTAATGCCATAATCGTTAAACAGAGCTGATGTTGACCAACACATGAATTACTGTTTGCAGTTTATGTATTGACGAATTTGTTAAAGAAAATTACAGTCGTTGGTTTCTTATTTATAGTTATTATCCTTTGAGATCTTTAAACAGAACAATCAGACACAAATTTGATATGAATGCAAATGTCGGATCAAAGTTTCAAGGTTATGAAATATTAAAAGTATGAAATGAATACTACAACAATGAAAACACGGACCATTTCATGTTATTAAACTTAATTACAAATGACACTAGTAATTATTAAAATATAGAAAAACACCAAACTTTAATAAAAAACACAAAGTCTCGTGTAACAGATGCATGAGGTTGACGTTGATGAAGTTATGTACTTCATCAAGTAATGATTGGAGTATGATAATGATGCATTAGCCTACGTGTAACATACAAATTTCATCTATTACCTACTTCAGTTTTATTTTTTCAACAATAAAAATGGGTTTAACGTTAGGCACAATATTGCAAAGGGATTGTAAAGTGTATACACTAATTATATGTTATTAATATTTTTTTTTTAGGATAAATGATAACCATAATATTTTTGAACAAGTTTTAACACATGCCTAATGAAAGCTCATTATTTCAGATTTGCAGTATAATGAATAATGTTATTTTTGATTCTCTGAAAATAGGTCTCTTCTTTAGCAATATGAAAATAAAAATTTTCTAAAAATTCTTTCCCTCGATTTGCCGAGTCTACAAAATCTGGGACCTCATCAGATTCACCCAGAGAAAATTTTAACAAAAATATTCCTAAAATAAGCCCATAACAAGAAAATGTTTTCCAGTGGTTCAGCAGTTTGTCGTAGGAAAATATTTTAGAAGGATCGCATTTGAATTGACGTAAATTTTCGCTTAAAAAATCGTAATAAATTTTCAACAGCTCTTCAACATTCTTGTGTTTTTCTACGTCAACACAAGCATAGATGAAAACAGACAAATCCAAAACCGGTGAGCCTAAGCCAGATAACTGTAGATCTATGATGCGTACTCCCACAGGACGTTGACTTTTTTCCTACAATAGCAAAATTAACATTGTGGACACTATCATACCGATACTTACTTCAACTTTAAACATAAAATTGTTCGTCCAACAGTCTCCATGTAAGATAACACTAGAATGTGGATCTTCAGAGACGAGATTAGTCAAAATATTCTTGATGTCAGATTTTGAAAATCTGTTCTCTTTTAATTCTGTGTCATTTTCCCACGCATCTAATATTTCTTCGTAATATTCATATATAATATTATCCAACCCAACTTTCAAAATAAAATAAGGGAACAAATGAACGTAGTTCTCTGTAAGTTTTTCGAATGTAGCAGCACTTTTGTGTCTCATTGCCAAAGAGAAGCAGTGCCATTTGGCATAAGCTTGTAAAACTAACTTGATGTAATCATAAGTCGTGGGTATTTTTCGGTCCCAAAGACTAAATCCGTGTGTTCTCAAATTCTCTAAGACTACAATTTCACAATCCTGTAGACTTTCAGCAAGATAACATGTAGGTATTACATCCAACATATTTTTATCAACTTTCATTTCTTCCTGAAAATTCTTGAATGAAGGTATTATCTGCTCGTAGAGATAAATTTCTCTCTCAAAAAATTCCTTCACAGGTGTCTGTCTTCTAAGTTTCTCATTAGACGTCGACATTTTGACAGCAAATTCCCAAATTTTTTCTTCCCCATTCACGGTGGTACCAGTAACTGTAGTAAAAATAACTTTGGCAAAATAACCATCGCCTTTTTTTGTTTCTTCGCCAAATTGCAATTTATATTTAGAGAGGTTTTCTTTGCGCACAATCAAAGACACACAGTGTAGTATTTTTTCTTCGAACATTGTATTTGACTCCAGCTGCGGCTCCAGCTGATTATTATTATTATACAAAAAAACGAGTAATCCAATGACGTAAAGACAAATGTGCTCTCATGCTTTTATATTGATTGTTGTATTTGTATTGCTAATCTCTTTGAAGTCTGGGCTATCACTTACACCCACAAATTGCAAATTCATGTTAACATTAATTACAAATTAAGGTAGATATTTTTTTCCTACAATGAATGTTGTGAAATATATTAGATCTTTCTAAAAACTATGTTTATCCTGAAAAATTTCAAGGTCTATAAAATTCGACACTGGAATTTGTAATTGCATTTCCTGACATGTGTTAATACATAAAAAAATTTCAACAAAGTTAGCAAGGATTTATTATTCAAGTTTGTAGAGTTTTGTTTTAGATCATTACTTAACAATAACATAATGTAGCGTGCACAACACGCATTCAATAATACATAAATTCGCGGAAAATTTTTCTTAACACTAATTATCGTAAATTACTAAATTACAATTTGCGGTATTTTCAAATGAGAATGACCTTGAGAGACACTTTATAATTATATTCCTATACAAATATGACAAAAAGATGAATCGAACACAATGTCACACCATTTTAACTTAAATATGTTTAACAAAGAAAACAAGATACTAAATTAAATTATTTTTGACCACATACTGAACAACATATTTAGCTCTATTTTTTAAAGCTGATTTATTCTTGACCTCATAGTCGAAAGCCTTTCCAAAATCATTACCACTTTCAGCCGCATCTGCAATATCTAAAACTTCATCCTTTTCGGTAGCACAAATTTTAAAAACCAAGCTGCTCATTAAGATTCCGAACTTGCAATATTTTCTCCAGTCGTTTAAAAACTCTTGTTTTGGATACAATACGTCCAAATTAGAACCCAACTGTGTGGTATAAAACTTTAATTTTTCGTAATACTGTTCCAAAATATCGTTTAAGTCATCGATGTCGTCTTTAGATATACTGGCAAACACAAAATACGACAAATCAAGAATTGGTGATGAGTATACCGATATCTGCCAATCCAATATGGCGACTTCCAATGGCAAAATGTTATTTTTATTCTAAAACGAAAGAAAATTAAAAAAATGGTAGACGTTAAAACAAACTTACATCGTGTTTGAACATGAAATTATTGCACCAACAGTCACCATGTCGTATCACTTTCACTCCATTCATTTCTTGAATCATCTCGGTAAAAATATAATTTATTTGTTTTCTGAAAGATTTCCAAACATCTAAAGTTTTATCATCGAGTTCATCCTTAAGTAAGCCATGTATGTCATCCACATTATTTCCAAAAAGTGTTTCACAGTCTGTTGATTCCAGGAAACATTTGAAAATATCTACAAAACCGTCGATGAGTTGTCCAAATTTTTCAGGTTGCTGATCGTTCATTGCAATTGACACAGCATGAAATTTTGCATATTCTTCAATAACCATTTCAATATGATTCCGCGTCAGAGGTTTTTTCTTATCCCATAAGGTATAACCCTTTGATTTTAAATTTTCAAAAACAATAATTTCCATGTTGTCGGTGACGAGTGTTCCATAACATTTGGGTACGCTATTAAATGGGTTACGAATGTTCTTCGCTGTCTGAAATTGAGTAAAAGCAGGCAATACCTTTTCGTAAATGTATATTTCATTGATGAACGCTTCCTTAACCGGCGCTGAGTCTCTTAAAACTTGACTTCTTTTGCTACATTTTAACACAAGACTGTATTCCGGATTGCTTTTACCCTTTTCAGAAGTTAAAGTAACAAAAATTATGTCACCAACGTAACCATCACCTTTTTCCGAATTTCCCACAATGTGTAACGACAAATTATCGATATTATCTTTTAAGATGACACTCAACCAAGATCTGATCTCGTTTTCCATGTCAATCGCAATTGCTAAACTACTGTAACACATCCAATAGAATAACGACGGTGATTATATATTTGTGAGACGACCTCGGGCTTGTAGTGTATAACTAACATTAACAGGTACTTATAGTGGTCAATTGACAAAATTATATTTCTTATTCATTCACTGAGTTGAATTTTGTTGCGTATAAAGTAACATTAAATGGTCCGACATGTAGGGGAGGGAGGGAACCATTGGACAGTAAGAAAGTTAGAGCACTAGTGAACGGTGGTATTTAAATTAATATTCAAGCAACACCATATGGCGATAATACAATTCACTTAAATGCCAACTGTCAAAATAATCGAGAAAATATGAAAGTAGCCATTCGCCGAATGGACCCAATTACAATACTTCCTTAGCTTACGCTCGAGAACTAAAAACAGTAGTCCATGAGGGAGTAACTGTATGTAACTGTAAGAAAATGAGTTGTAATTGTGTTTATTTTTCATGTGCGTGCACCTTTTAAATAAAAAAATGTGTACTTGAATACCAGAACATACGATACATTTTACCTTTTTTTACCCCGAAGAACTGTTTATCCTTTAAGAAGAAAGATTTGCCATAATGTTAATTTCGCAGAAAAATTTTCTTTTGTATCTTATCTGTTTAAATAATAATCGAATGAAAAGAATTTGATACATTTAAAAAAATATATATTAATAAAATGATTAAACCTAATACCATGGCCGACTAGTATAAAGATTATGGCCTGTCCAAAGGAATGTCAAAGGTACATTACGTGCTGCCATCTATTAATAATTCAAAAACGACAAAAGAATTATTAACACCTTTTGAAAGGCACAAAGGCATTCATACAGAAACAAACCACCATTACACGTTTTGAAGTCCCATAATGTCAAGTCAAATTAAAATTTTGCTAAATTATTAAGTGTAATTATTAATAGATGGCAACACGTATCGTACCTCTTGGACAGGCCATAATCTTTATACTAGTCGGCCATGCTAATACATACCTTGTTTGGTACGAATTTTAAAATAATCCATTCTCTTAAATCAGACTCATATATCTGCAATGTACTAAAATTAAAACAAAATAAAGTATTTAAAGTGTTAATACCTTCTTACAATGTTTTTGTTGAGTTTTATTTAAAGAGTTCCATCTGTTAGACATAACCATAAATTAGCAACTGACCATATCGAATTGTAAAAGTACCAGAAGTTTTTTCATTACATTCGATTTTTGTTAGACAGATAATCTCCGAAACTACTGGACCGATTGTTGCCAAATTTTGTAGTTACATTAGGAATATCATGTAGATGGTAAAATGCTCACCAAAATTGGGCTAGTGATCTCCACCGCCAATGGGATGACGTCATTTCCACAGTTTATAACTTTTTTTTTTAATTTTATAAGATAAGATACTCTTGTACTTGTGGCTATACACCACAAGAGTATGTGTACGTGCTGAATTTTCACCCAAGATATCCAGAATTTTGGGAAAAAAATCAAAATTGTATATCAACATATTGCAATTTAACTTTGAAACTGCAAAACTGAATACTCAGAAATCTTGCAAACGTTTTAAGGTTACCATAATGATGGTAAATCGTTAAACAAAATGTATTCGTCTGTCCCCTCCCAAAAAATGGTTGACGTCATCTCAGAATTTTGTCAATTGAATCCTACCTAAAATGTGCAAAATATAATGAGACTATTCTTGTGATTTATAGTTGCATTTATAGTTTTTCGAATTGCTTATACAGGGTGCCCCAAAAAAATTAATGAATGAGTGAATTTATTTTATTGATTAAATCAGAAACTGCATATCCGACTGTTTTGACATCTTGAAGATATTTTAAAGTTACCGCAAACATGGTAAATTTGTAATCAAAATCTGTTTATTCCTCCAAAAAATTGATGACCATGATCTAAAATTTTGCCAAATAAATCTATCCAAATTGATATACGTAAATGTCCTTGCAAAAATGTTGATGACGTCATCTCAAAATTTTGTAAATGATAAACTCATTTGAAACGTATCCATAGCCCATTACATTTACTTTAACATTACGCACGTATCTTATTTTAACTTCTAAGGGTTCACAAAAAAAAATAAAATTGGCAAAATCAAATTTTATAATTTTTCGAAAAGCTGGATATGCTTTGTTGTACTTCAGGGCGAGGGAAATTCTATCGAAATAACCTTCGACCAATTTTTTAACTAACTTCTCAGCGCAGGTCAAACTGAATTACTTCATTATTGTAATTTTTCAATAATTTTTAAAAATCAAGGAAATCGAATCAGTGTTTTTGCATATATCTTATATTTCACGATAATTTATACAAAGAAGCAAAATAATATTTTTTTACATTTCTAGAGCCTACTGGAAGACGTTACTTTGCTCGATTGATTCTTTTATTTTTTGCTGAAATAATAAAGTGTAAAATTAAAGAAATCAAAAAACTAGTATGTCTGACTTTAACACTAAATTAAATTATTTTCCACCACATATTGAACAATATACTTGGTTCTGTCCTTTAAACTACTTTTATTTTCAACTTCATAATAGAAAGCCTGCCCAAAATCATTAGTAGCTTCAGCTGCATCTGCAATATCTGAAATTTGTTCCTTTTCGGTAGTACAAAGTTTGTATATCAAGGTGGCCAACAACATTCCGCACTTGCAATATTTTTTCCAGTTGTCCAAAAACATTTTTCTTGGATACAGTACGTCCAAATTAGAACCAAGCTGTGTGGTATAAAATTTTAATTTTTCGTAATAATATTCCAAAATATCATTTAAATCATCGATGTCATCTTCAGATATACAAGCAAAAATAAAATAAGACAAATCAAGTATTGGTGACGAATACGTCGATAGTTGCCAATCCAAAATAGCAACTTCCAAAGGCAAAATCTTATTTATATTCTAAAATAAAAGAAAACTAGAAATTTGATATATATGAGCAAACTTACATCGTGTTTAAACATAAAATTATTACACCAACAGTCGCCATGACGTATCACTTTCACTCCATTAATTTCTTGAATCTTCTCGGTTAAAATATAATTTATTTGTTTCCTGAACGATTTTCAAACATACAAAGTTTTCTCATCGAGTTCATCTTTAAGTACATTATATATACCGTCTATACAATTCCCGAAAAGTCTTTCAGAATCTATTGATTCTATAAAACATTTGAAAGTATCAACAAAACCTTCGACGATTTTTTCAAAAATTTTTGGTTGCTGATCTTTCATTGCAATTGAAACAGAATGAAATTTTGCATACTCTTTAAGCACAATTTCTATATGGTTTCGAGTCTTATCCCATAAGGTATAACCCTTTGATTTTAAATTTTCAAAAACGATGACTTCCATGTTGTCGGTGCTGAGTGTCCCGTAACATTTCGGAATACTATTAAATGGGTTACGAATTTCCTTCTGTGTCTGGAATCGTGTAAAAGCAGGAATTACTCTTTCATAAACACATATTTCTTTCATGAACGCTTCTTTAACAGGTGCCGACTCTCTTAAAGCCTGACTTTTCTTGCTGCATTTTAATACAAGGTCGGAATTGCGCTTACCATCATGAGAAGATAAAGTAACAAAGAGTATATCACCAATATAACCATCAACTTTTTCCGAATTTCCAGTGAAATGTAAGGACAAATCTTCAATGTTGTCTTTCAAAATAACATTCAACCAGGCTCTAATCTGACTCTCCATGTCAACAGTAACTGCTCGACTAATGTTAAAAATTGAATAAAGTACTGAGAGTTATTATAAATTGGTAAGGCGACCTTGACTTTGTTCATGATATTTATCGTAAATTGAGACTTTTTATTTGCACAGTGAGTTTGATTTTTTTAAGACACTTGAAGTATAATCTAACAGTTTTGACAAGAATATCACCATTGTACAAGTGTTGTTTTATAGGAACGTTAATATTTTTCAAAATTGATTCGCATTCAACAAATTTTCCACGCAAAATGAAGCCTGTGGGTTCATAGTGCAAGGAATAAAATGGTTTCTGTCAAGGTAGTTAAGTGAAAAAATGTGCCTGTTTTTGCTAAATAACGATAAATAATAGGAGTATTTAATAAAATATCAAAAATACAAAGCTTTTTCTAAAGGTTATTTTAACTTGTACTATTCGAAATACTAATGGAAGATATATTGTACAATGGCGGCCCCCCAAAACTGCACGATTTTTCGTTGTCATGGAAGTTTTTGAATTTTTAAATTATTCTAAGTCTGGCTATTTCCAGTGGCACAGCATTTTTGAATAAACAAAATGTCAAATTTGACAAATTTTGTTATTGGAGCGCCCATGATTTGAACATACATTTACAATAGAAAAAAATATGGTGCACTTTTGGGGGACCGCAACTGTAAGTTTGTACATTTTCTTAATTTTTTCATTTGTTGCTGCAGTAATTGTGCCATAAATTAATGAAATCAAAACACAAATAAATAAATATATTCGTTTTCACTAAAACAGAAAAAAAATCTAAATAAGACTAAAAACTAAATTAAACTATTTTTCACCATATATTGGAGAATATATCTGGCTTTATCCTCTGAAATAGATTTATTTCTCACTTCATAAAGGAAATGCTGCCCATAATTGTTAAACATCGTAGAAAACTTTCCAGGACAGGCTATGTTGAATTATTGTTCTATTTTAACTTTTCCATAATTTTTGAAGACCGAGAAAATTAAATTTTTTAACGTTCATTAAAAAAAGTGTAACATTTTTTATTAATTTTTGTTTGTAAAGGATACGTTTATTTCATCGCACTAGAAGCGTGAAAAAGTATCCTAGCGTTTCATTTTTTCATAGTGTGTCATTTTTTAACGGAAGTAAAACATAGAGGCCTGCCGTTGCTATGATAATTCATCAACATAAGTAAGTGGTTTGTATTAATTTTCTCGGTGTGTTGTGGGTTGTGGTAAGTTGTGTGCTCGGACAATGGAATCGGACAGCGATGAAGATTTCTTGTGCACCCCCGAAAAAATTGTCAAGACGGCAAATACGGCTACATTTAATGTCTATGTTCCAAAATAAAGTTTTTGAAGTTGGTGTTGAGTTTTGTCACGAACGCGAAAAAAATTTTGTATGCAACTCGGGCAAATTTTCCTTCTCGTAAAAA